TTTGTTTTTTAAGCTCTACAAAATGGTCTGGAAAGAAATGGTGAAATTTTGTGTTTTTATGGGAAAATATGGGAAAATTTACCATATTTTGCAATTTTTACCCCGTGTCCATAGTCAGATCATGCTGGTTCACGAACTCGTTCGAATAAATGTAGGTTTACATGTTTGTACCAAAATTCATCAAAATCGAATCATTTTTGCTCGAGTTATCGTGCTAACGGACACACACACACACACACACATATATATATATATATATATATATATATATATATATATAATTGAATACAAAATACCAAAGTACCCTAAAAACATTTTATTTTATATTACCATTGACTATATACCTACTGATATTACTTACTGTCCGCGAGAGTAAAGAAGTCCCCTGAGCTCCGGCCTATTCGTAGTTTGAAGGCGTTACGCTTGAACATTTCGCGTGACAATTAGAGCAGTCTTCACTCTGCTATGTTAGTTGTTAGGCTTAATTTTTGTATGTAATATCTATATGATTTTTATAAATCTATGTCATAAATTTTTTGTGCATGGTCATACAATAGAAAGAAACCCATTTTCTAGTGTTACTAAGGCAAATCAATAACCTTTCTACTTTATGATTTTTGTTTAGTTAAATGTAACAATACCAATAAAATACAATACAATAAAATCCTTTTTAAATCCGAGTTTGAAAGCACTAATCCCAAATAATTAGTTGATCCATGAATATACTTACGGTGAATGCATATTACCGGTACATAATAAGTACAAGAGTACAGCAGTTTTAATAGCATTTATCAATAAACAACTTATTAAAGTTTTTAATCCTATTACCATAAACCTAAGCAAACAATCAAGAAAACAATTGCCAATATAGTATTTTACTTACAAATGCTGATATTGTAAGAGTTTAAATGTAACACCATTTAATTTTTACAGTGATCTTTTTCAAGAGTTTGCGACAAATTTTTAAATATATGTATTGTATACATATTATTTAAAAACATTAAGTTTTGTTCGTGATTAGTTCTTTCAAAATGTAAAATATTGAATAAAATAAGTAATTAATTAAAGAGTGCCGATAGAAAATTTCCCTTTTTTGCCCCCAGCGTTCTTATCTCTCGCAAATACTTAAACGTACAATTAACAATGTCAGGCATTTCAAACATTTTCTTTTGGAACCACATTTCTTCCACTTGAACCACATATCTTTTAAGAGACGCCGAAGTGCCCGTTCGCTCCATTTAAAATTAATTCTTTCTCTCAAAACAGGTAATAGTTTTTTGCACGTAGGGACAATTTTTTTGTTTGTGTAAAAATCGCGTATTACTACGATTACTGCCTATCAAAGCTATCTATTTGTACTTTATAGTGGTTAGACTTCTTGCGTTTTTTCCCGGGTGTACAGAGCTTTTCATCCGGAGTTTGTTTGCCGGCTTTTCTAATTCGTTTATTAGTTTTTTTTCTGACAGTTTACAATAGTTTGCGGCACGTTATGTTGCCTTTTCTATCGGCACTTATAACTTTTTGTCTTTACATTCGTTGTGACAACGCTCGATCACCCATCTAATCACCACGTTTTCTTAAATCCATAGCTACAAGGACCGTCCAAAACAAAACAGAACTCACTACGCAAACACACGAGACTGCACTGAATCAAATGACGTGACCACATGATGATAATCCACTTACCAAAACAAAGATATGAGTAATTATGTTTACAACAGTTGTTTACAGACAGACATAGAGGCGAGGCGCCCAGATGCTTAGCGCCTGCAAATAGTGTGCGATACCCTCACGATTACTAGAAAAATACCGGTATGGATCATAAACATAAACAAAATGACGTTGTTGGCCCGAATCCTACTAATAGCATTGAACATATGATTTGGCAGTTCCATTTAAGCAATGTTAAATAATGTTTATTTTCGGGCCAAAAACGTCATTTGTTTATGTTTATGATCCATACCGGTATTTTTATAGTAATCGTGGATACCCTCCAAACATAGCTGCGTATCGCCATATCGCTCTCGGCTCAAGGGACTTCTTACTCTCGTTCTCGCGGACAGTACACGTGTTTCGGACATTTATGCCATGATCACAGTGAGAGTACATACATAACCTATTAATTTATTTTATTTACAAACATTATTATGTAGATATTTCTTGTTTTAAGAATATGTGATTTTTTATGTCAAGGAAAGGTAATGTTTTTCTTTTAGATTAATAATTTCATCGAATATGACGTTTCGATTTTGAGTTCGTGTCAAATTTAGTAATGTCTTTGTCAGCAATATGATGTGTATGAATATAAAAGTCTTCTTTTAGCGAATTTGCCTATAGGGAAGTAGCTATTACCGTAGGTGGCACGGTAAAACTTAGGCCCGGGACCGATTTACTTTTTCATTTTGATGTCCCCAGAGGCCAAAAACACCATTCGTTCAAATTTGTATATATGTATATATATATATATATATATATATATATATATATGTCCGTGAACGCGATAACTTGAGTAATTTTTGTCCGATTTTGATGAAATTTTGTTTAAAGGTGTAAGGCGGGATAAACTTTTATGAGTTCGCGAACCAGCATGATTGGACCATGGGAACGGGGATTTACGGGAGGTTTTATGGGGTAAAAAATGGTTTTTCTCATTTTTGACCCTCAAAACACAAAATTTCCCAATTTCTCTCTAGACCTTTTTAAAGAGCTTAAAAAAACAAATAATTTAGTATATCAAAGTGTTTTTGTACGGTTATTGGTAACGGAAAGAATTAAAAAAAATTTTAAATTTAAAATTGTCATGTTATTCTTATGGAGAATATTGTAAACTGTTGTATTTTGCTTGTTTATGGATATATTTGGATCAAACTTGGCAAATTTATTTATTTTATACTAAGCTATTAATACTTAACTAAAAAAATACACTTTAATAGTTTCCTTGTAGCAGCAAACCTAGGTACTCGTTAAACCTAATTTTATTTAAATAAATTTAATTGAAAGTCAATTCAGACAAATGGAAATTCGCTTAGTCGGCAGGTTTACTGCGGCGGGAGTATTATTTAATTTATTTAATAACATTTAAAGTAGCCATCATTGGTGTATATAATAACAAAATATAATATATATGAATTTGAACAGATGGTGTTTTTGGCCTCTAGGGACTTTAAAATGAAAAAGTAAATCGGTCCCGGGTCCAGGTCTTACCATGACTACGGTAATAGCTTATTCCCTATATGGTAAATTCGCTAAAAATAAAAAAATGAACAAAGCAGCTAAAAATAACCAAAATACAATAATACAATGATAAAATACATTTATATATTTTCTACTATCAAATAAATTATATATATGTATATTAGTATAAATATTTAATAAACGTATAATTAGGTTTAAAATATGCCTTAGGCCTACCTACTTGCTAATCCGAAGTAACTGGTTGTTTCATAAAAACTTTTTATCATACCATAGGGTGGTCATAAATTATTGTATACATTTTAAGATTAAATACATAAATAACCAAGCAACTTAGAAAAATGGGAACATGGGAATATGGGGGTAAATAGCAAATTCAAAGCAGTATTATACAGTAACTGAAAACAAATAATAATAAAAATTTCAGTAATTATAAATACCCCCGCCGCAGCAGACCTGCAGACTAAGGGAATTTCCATTAGCCTGATTGGATTTACACTAAAATGTCTACTTAAAAATATAACATTTATAAAACTGGTTAGGTATGTATCAAATTTCTGTAAAAATCACTTAAACTGTTATTGTAAGTCATGTTCTTATCTGAGGTGAGGTGAGGACCCTTTAGAATGTTGGACACTTCCCGTTCGTTCAAACTGTCTGTATTTTATGGAATCGTTACTCGGAGAATTACGGCCATACTCTAAACAAAGGCTCCTTCGAACAGTTATTAGTTATTACAGATCATGCTTTCATAAAACCAATGAACACACTTGACTTATTAGTCAAAAATGTCATGTACTGTACACAGCTGGTGTAGAAAGGTCCAATGTTAGTTGGCTAGCTGACTGCGCCAAAAACCACAACACATGTCATTAAGAAGAAAACATAACGTACACACCAAAATAAACCATATACTTAAAATGTTTGTCATGACGATAAACCTTCCGCAAAACTATCCATTACTTCATAAATTGCCCGTTAAGGTCGTAAATCCTTTCTAGAGAGAACTTTCCATATACCTAATGTTCAAAATACCTCAGCTGTACTTATTATTTGTATATTATTCTTTCTATTTATTACCTTATAAAATCAGGTGTGATTATTTGTTTGTGTCACTGTGATGTGTTCTGTTTTGTTTATTTCAACTCAACTTAACAAATCAATTGTTTTATTAATACTTATGAATTCAAACAGGGTGAATCCTGTGGGTAACAGCTAGTTTGTATAACCACTTTTCATCATTACTGATATTTTAGCGAATTTCCCATAGGGAATAAGCTATTACCGTAGTACTCATGGTAAGACCTGGACCCGGGACATATTTACTTTTTCGTTTTGAGGTCCCTAGAGGCCAAAAACACTTTTTTGCCCTCCCTGTTGCAGCAAACCTAAGTACTCGTTAAACCAATTCTATTTAAATAGGGAATAAATGTGATATTGGAGACATTTTAGAGTAAATCTAATCAGGCAAATGGAAATTCGCTAAGTCTGCAGGTTTTCTGCGGTGGGGGTATAGTTTAAGGTTTTTGAAATTAACATGAATTTTAGATGGGAAAATTAAATTTTTGGTTTATGAGTCAAATACTAAAAGAAATAGACAGTAGGTATAATTGTGCACGGGTGGTCTGATTCACCCTATATAAAGGAGTTTGCAAAATAAACAGGGGAGAAATTGATATACCAATTTATTATTAATGTAGCTTTTACAGTGACTAGGCAAAGGTTAGTGGTAAGTAAAGGTTAGTTGAATTTATTGTGACCCTCTCCTCTTTTACAAGACAATGCTGTTATTGAAGTTGTTGTTACAGCCCTCAGGCCATGTGGCTAGCTGTGCTGTTGCTGGCATGGGTGACTATTGTGAGTGGATCCTCTTCCTCCCTATCACTCAACATCGGTTGTGATCTTCCCCTCGCCACCACCACAGCTCTGTGGCGGCCCAACCAGACTCAGGAGCTACTTCTGCCCAACTCGGTAAATACAAACCAAGGTTCAAACCACCTTTTTTGTGACCTTGTCTCCACCCGTCCCTTGAAGTTTAAAATTTGCGATAGATATAGCGAATATTTCTCCTTATCCCCACCTTATAGGATATATAACTTAGACAGTTAATTGTATTCAATTGCTATGAATGTCAAAGATAAGTGTTCCGGTGAAACTTTTGCCTTTTGATTTGTACAACAGTCTCAAACTGTTTTGAATTTTACTTTAACCGGTGCTACCCAGTTAACATTAACGATTTTACTCAAACAAAATATTAAACATTCTACAAAACTGAAAAATTACCTCACTCCGCTATTTCTGGTAAGAGTGCTTTTCATTGCGTTTAAGGAGGAATGATACATAATTATCATCCAGTACAAAATTTAAGTGTTAATTTCTTGGGCTGATTGTTTTTCTCCCTGTAAAATGTACGATTAAAATGCAACTTCCTGAAAAGAGAGACATAGTGTGCCTTTAGGGTTGGTTGTACAAACTCAATTGTTCATCTTAGTTTCTCCTGATATACTCGTAGTTACTCCCTAGAGAGTAAAAAATGCTATTAGACCCACAACGCATGCATTAAAAACAGATTTTTGCTGCAATATGAAATCAGAAAACTATGTTTGCTTTATTAATTGAAATGATATACAGTTAATTAAACATAACACAAGTACAGTAAAATATTTAGTAGCCAAAGTGTTATGAGGGTTGCTATATCCAAATAAACAAACCACATGATACACACCACGTGGAATATTCGGCAAAGTTGAAGGTGTTAGTCTTGACACCCACATAAAGGTGACACATTCCTCAGACAACAATGTAGAAACACTTATCCTGTATAAGGGAGGCAAGTAGATGGACTTAAAACCACAAAATGGCTTTCCTCTTACATTAGCTTGTGAATAATATGAAACTACCAGCTATTTAAATTATCTGCTAATAATCCTATACTCTAAGACTCAAGATTCAAGATTCAAGATTCAAATATCTAATACAAGCAAAGTATGTCCGTCTATCTGTATGTCTGTCTGTAATACATATCTCGAAATCCAGCAGAAGGATTTTTACAAAGTTTTGGAATTAGGGACTTGTAACCCTAATAATGTGATTTGAAACACCCACTACCAAATTCGTATTTTGCTACACAACTCATTTGAAAATAAAAAAAATTAACATTGTCCTTATGAATTGCCAAGTAACTATGTTGGTTGAACAAAATAACGAGTAAAAAGTAAATAAAATACTTGTAACATGTGTTTATAACAAGCCATCCCCAGAATACAGTACAAATTCCTTTTAGATAATTAACATTTATTAATTAGCTTGTACAGTAAAAACTATACAATTTTTATATGCAACAGACTGCCATGTATAAATTTATTAACCATGGAAATCTTTAGAATTTATATTTGCATTACAATGTTCAATTAGAGGGGAGGTTTAGTTTACCTGTTGCGTCAATTGATCCTTGTGCTATAAATGAAATAACTACAGCTGTTCCGTTTACAAATAATCAAACAGAATGAAAGTCTGAGTAAAATAAAATAGCTAATAACATATTATGTTGAATCAATTAGGGGTTATAGTATGATACTATCAATGTATATGGAGCTTCCAGTGAATATTGAAAAAAATAAACACATTGGTGACAATTTTAAATTCCTCCCAATATATTTACCCCAAATGAGGGGTTGCAGTTGCTTAAGGAGGGGGGAGGGGGGAGCTCTCTCCCTGAGTGCTTTTCAACCAAGAGCACTCAAGATAACCTTTGCTCAGGGATGACAACAAACTATTCCCATAAGGAAATCAGTTGGTAAACTGACCTTCTTGACTTGATGATACTATAATCTTTTGTATCGTATAGAGAATATACGATAATGTTTTATATCATATATGGAATACCTTAATTCCATTATTATTTCACCATCTAACAGATACCGTACTTAAACATATGAATGGTTTTCTTTTAGTGCATTACTTGAAAAAAAATATATGATGGTAGTCTATTCACATGATTTATTATCCGAAACATTTTTCACAGGATCGCAATGGCAAGTTAACTTGGGAGGGTTCTGTACATATGCAGAGTGGGGACATTCTATTGGTCAGAATTAATGACACAGCAATCCTGAAACCAGCTGTTACCACCACTTCGACAACCACAACCACGGTTTCTACCACAACCATTACAACCAAGCAACCGTCCACTCCCCAGGGCAACTCATCCACAACCAATCCTGGTAAGTACCTTAAGACCATTTCAGGACTTCCTAAGATCAATTCATATTAAACCAACTATATTTTTATTTTATTTAGTTTTAACTGTAATTGGTTGATTTGATTTCTTTCACGTTTCATGTGATATTTATTACTTAATTGATACTTTGTTAAATCATAATTGTGACAGCAAATAAGTTCAGCAAATAACAGGATTTTTCAAATTTATGTTTGAACTAAAATCGTGTTAAACAATGTCAAATGTTTCATATTAAACAATTCACATATTCATCCTACTAATATTATAAGTGAGAAAGTTTGGGTGTAGGTATGATGTATGTATGGATGTTTTTTGTGACCAGTAAACACGAAAAATACTGATCGGTTTGGGCTGACTCACATTCCCGATTAACATATAGACCCATTCTTATCTCAAAAATCCTTTTGGGCTCCACCCCAGTGGCTCTGGAGTTTCCCATTTCAACCTTTTGAGTATTCATTTAAAAGGAATAAAAAAAAAAATTTCAGCTGTTTCAACTACACAAGTTAGTTCTATGATAATAAATAGCATTAAAAAGTTACTAGGTGGCGTTCGCATAGGTATCCACAAAATTGAGCTGAGTCATCAAGGGTTCATATTATATTGTTTTTGTCATACTGCAGTAAAAACAGTAGTTTTTAATGCATGCGTTGCGGGTCTAAAGTAGCATTTTAGCGAATTTCCCATATAGGGAATAAGCTATTACCGTAGTACTCATGGTAAGACCTGGACGCGGGACCGATTTTTTTTTTCGTTTTGAGGTCCCTAGAGGCCAAAAACACCATCCGTTCAAATTCATATATATATATATATATATATATATATATATATATATTTATATATATATATATTTATATATATATATATTTATATATATATATTTATATATATATATTTATATATATATATATTTATATATATATATATTTATATATATATATATTTATATATATATGTGTCCGTCAGCACGATAACTCGAGCAAAAATGATCCGATTTTGATGAAATTTGGTACAAACGTGTAAACGTACGTTTATTCGAACGAGGTCGCGATCCAGCATGATCGGACCATGGGAACGGGGTTTACGGGGGGTTTTATGGGGTAAAAATAGGTTTTTATCATTTTTTACCCAAAAAACATAAAATTTAGCAATTTCTTTCCAAACCATTTTGTAGAGCTTAAAAAAACAAATAATTTAGTATATTGAAGCGTTATTATGCGCCTAATGGTTACGGAGAAAATTCAAAAAAATTGTAATTTTAAAATTCCCATGTTATTCTTATGGAGAATAAGTAAACTGTTGTAGTTTTCTTGTTTGTGAACATATTTTGAAAATGTTTTCATTTCTTACTAACTATTCACATTTTACAAAAAAAAAAACAGTTTTACCCTCCCTGATGCAGCAAACCTAAGTACTTGTTAAACTAATTCTATTTAAATCAAGAATAAATGTTATATTTTTAAGTAGACATTTCAGTGTAAATCCAATCAGTCAAATGGAAATTCGCTTAGTCTGCAGGTTTGCTGCGGCGGGGGTATTTTATATTTAGGGAGTAAAAATAGTTTTTTCCTACAGTTGCCTAACAATGTACATGTTCTCTCACTGATTTGAGAAAGCAAAGTGGCCAATTCGCTCATCAGTGAGACAATGTTAACATTGTCTCATTCTAATTACTTTGTCTCACTCCAGATTTGCAAAGTGAAGGCACGAAATAGTGAGCGCGTAACATGCAGACAGCGTCGTATGCGCGTGAAATACGTTGGCAGCACTGGCTGTAAATCAGCTGGTCAGCTGTTGTACTGTTGTATTTGTCACTTCACATTAAATGTTATATTAAAAGTTCACTTCTATGTAAAAATATGTTACGTTTCTTCACCAATTTATTTGTTTTATGGTAACTGTAGGAAAAATATAATGTGCAACTCGAGTGCAAAGTACAATTGCTTCACTCGAGAAACCATTTCTCACTCGCCTACGACTCGTGAGTAAGGATTTCTCTCGAGTGAGTCAATTGCTCACTTTTCTCACTAGTTGCACAAATAACTATTTACCTCTATGGAGTAAAAATCAGCTGTTGTCAACTCAGTTTGTAAATTTCGATTGTAAACGATTGCATGTATCGAAAATATGTATCTACAGACTCTTCCTGTAGCATTTTAGCATTGCAGATACATTAATCTATTACCAAACTTTACACTGCTCACCTTTACTACTACCTTCACCACACCCTACGTCGTGAACCTGTTTCCCTCTCTTCCCATAGCATTTTAGGGTTGCAGATACTGAGATACATGATATTGCCAAAGACTGTTCCCACACTCTGCACTGCTAGCCTTACTACCATTTACTACGTCATAGACCTGTTTCCTTCCTTTCTCATAGCATTTAAGTATTACAGATTCATTTATCTAACTGCCCAAACGGTTCCCCCACTCTGCACTGCCAGCCTTTACTTCTTCCTTCACCACTTCTTACGTCTTGGTGCCTGTTTCCTTCCCTTCTCATAGCATTTTCATTTTAGTATTGAAGATACATATTAATCTAACTGCCACAGACGGATCTCACACTATGTTGATGCTCATATTTTACTACTTCCTAAGCCACTTCCTATATCGTGGACCTGTATTCATCACTTTCCATAGCATTTTAGTATTTAAGATATGTGAATCTAATTGCCACAAACATTCCCACAGTCCGTACTGCTAGCCTTTACTACTTCTTTCACCATTTCCTATGTCGTGGGCATGCTTCCATCCTTTCTCATAGCATTTCAGCATTGCAGATACATTAAAACTGCTGCAAACGGTTTCCAGTTCCCACACTCCACACTGCTCACCTTACTACTTCTTTCACCTCTTCCTACGTCGTGGACCTGTTTTCCTCCCTTTCCGTAGCATTTTAGGATTTCAGATACCTTAATCTAATCGTCATAAACAGTTCCCACACTCCGGACAGCTCGCCTTGACTACTTCCTTCACCACTTCCTACATCGGGGACCTGATTTCCTCCCTTCACATAAGATTTTAGGATTGCAGGTACCTTAATCTAATCGTCACAAACAGTTCCCACAGTCCGAACTGCTTGCCTTTACTACTTCCTTCACCTCTTCCTACGTCACGGACCTGAGTGTTTTCCTCCCTTCCCATAGCATTTTAGGATTGCAGATACATTAATCTAATGGTCGCAAACTGTTCCCACAGTCGGGACTGCTTGGCATTACTACTTCACGGACCTGTATCCCTCCCTTCCCATAGCATCGTAGGATTTGCAAACACCTTCATCTAATGGTCACAAACAGATCCCACACCCCGAGCAGCTCGCCTTTACTACTTCCTTCGCCACTTCCTACGTCGGGGACCTGATTTCCTCCCTTCACATAGGATTTTAGGATTGCAGATACCTTAATCTAATCGTCATAAACAGTTCCCACACTCCGGACATCTCGCCTTGACTACTTCCTTCACCACTTCCTACGTGGCGGACCTGTTTTCCTCCCTTCCCATAGAATTTTAGGAATGCATATTCCTTAATCTAATCGTCATAAACAGTTTCCACACTCCAGACTGCTCGCCTTGACTACTTCCTTCACCACTTCCTACGTCGCGGACCTGTTTTCCTCCCTTCCCATAGAAATTTAGGAATTCAGGTACCTTAATCTAATCGTCATAAACAGTTCCCACTCTCCGGACATCTCGCCTTGACTACTTCGTTCACCACTTCCTACGTCGCAGACCTGTTTTCCTCCCTTCCCATAGCATTTTAGGAATGCAGATACCTTAATCTAATCGTCATAAACAGTTTCCACACTCCAGACTGCTCGCCTTTACTACTTCCTTCACCACTTCCTACGTTGCGGACCTGTTTTCCTGTTTTCCTCCCTTCCCATAGAATTTTAGGAATACAGATACCTTAATCTAATCGTCATAAACAGTTCCCACACTCCAGACTGCTCACCTTTACTACTTTCCTTCACCACTTCATACGTCACGGACCTCAAGCTAGTGTCGTCATTTGATTATAATTAAGATCCATACCGTTTCTGTTCTAATATCTGTGGAATAATGCTATCAGCTATTTCTTTATCTACTGCATTCACAAGTCAACAGCTGATCATATGTCTTTGTTTATGTGTCAAATACTGCTTCCATAAGGATTACATTGAAACTTTGAGACCCAGTGGGGCGGATTCCTGAGAGACTTTTTTAACGCCATATAGATGTTGGCACTCACCGATATGGTCTTTATCACCATGCAAAATTTGAAAACGATCGATTCAGCCGTCTAGGAGGAGTTTGCGTATTACGAAATGCATAACAGTCGACGTATAAGAGCTTCGCTCGCTCCGCTCAATAAGGTTTACCAACAAGGTGCAGCACTATTAAGTTTTTTTTGCATTTATGACAACATCTAATTTGAACCAACTAGCAACAAAAAGCTGTGAAAAATAAAAATTTAACTTTGTTTATTGTTTAGGTGCAGTGGTAGAACATTATGGCTATGGTAGATGTGCTATACCATAGCATACTGTAAATTAAAACAACCAAATTTTCTTAAACCGTGTCCTCTCCCACTGCAAACGCAAAGCACTGGTATAACTGCAATAAGCATTTTATACTTATACGCAAACCCCGTAGGAAGTATGGGTACACTGCTAGTAAATCGTATTTTTGAAAGTTAAGAAAACAGAAAGTTTATATTTTATTTTAATTTCATAATCCGATAATAGCCACTTGAAAAAGTTCAGATGATTGACAACAGAATTCATCACAAACTATGAAATTTTAAAAACCTATAGGACTAAGGACTTTCACGGTATATCTTCCAAACCCGCAAAAGGCACATTTAGAGGATAAGAGTTTAAAATTGATACCCAATATACCTATAAAATAAATATTTAGGAGTCAATTTGCTGCACACAAAAATCCTAATTTTTTTTAAATAATATAGATGTTTTTTGATGTTGTTAGATAAGAATTTGACTGCTCCTTCAACAACACCCTCCACCTCCGTGGACCATGTGAGTTCAGAAGTACATCCTGGTTTATACCACCCTCCCGAGATATCGGTATATCAGGTAAGTAGTAGAAACTAATGTACGAGCAAAGTTATACTCTGACATTTCTTTGGTAAATATGGCTTTAAGTCATGATTTGTGTAAGTATTTTGTGGTGGATAGGTTTAACATCAGGTTTACCTTACAGACCTTGTTTTTGGTCACTATTATTAGGTTACTGCTGAATTATACTACAAATTTAACTATATTTACAAGAGCCTTAAGGACTGTCAAGAATTTTGGAGTAGGGGGTTCCCCACCGGTGGGAAAGTTCCCATCTTCTCTGTTGTGAGGAGATGTAAAAAAGCAAATGGCATAGACTACATAGATGAAAAATAAATACAAATTGACATAAATGCTGAAACATGCTCACCAAGTCAACGATTTGGAAAAATTAAGGCATTTATTAACATAAAATGTCAAACAAAATCTTAGAAGATAAACATGAGTTGAAATTTTCTACTTTCCTCCAACAAGTTTACTCTGATGAATCTTGAGCCACAATAGACAGAACGGTAAGCTAATGTAGACATTTTTGCAGGCGACGCGGCCCGGCCATGGCAGCTGTGATATCTCGGAGGGCGTTCTACTGGACATAACACCACTCAGTGTTGAGGGCCTAAAAGTTGTGGCTTTGTATGACAAGGACCTTAGTGACGGCCTCAACTTCCTCATAGGTAAAATTACGAGGATTTTTTTTGTATCAATACCTTTCTATACCTGATACAATTTAGGGATTTTGTCTGTAACATTCCTTTTTCTAGCCGTCCTACTTAACCGATTTTTACAAATGAGGTGTTATTTTTCTCCGCTAATGACCCAGTGGAGAGATGAATGGTAACTAAAAAGAGAGACGAATGGTAAAGGTAATTTCTTTTAGGGCTTTGCCCCTTCACGTTTAATTTATTTCTAGTAGAGTTAGTGTTCAAATACTTAATACTTTTTAATAATTTTCTTTGAAGTATTAAAAAGTAATCTACAAAGATCAAGTGATACTGAGCAACTTTCCTTATCATGGTTTGAATAAATGTGAACTGTAATTTAACCGCTGCTCCTTCAGTTGAATGTTTAACCATAGTCAGATTGCAAGCAATAAGAGACTAAACAGATTGTGAAAATATTTTTCAAATAATATGCTTGTTTTTTTTACAAATGTGACCTGATCTAAGTAAATCACTCTCTATAGGGTTGATCTAAAATCAAAGATATTACACTGGATTCATTTTGTCTTGGGAACCAGTTTTGAATCTAATTCAAATGCACAATTTGTGCATGGGTCCCACTCGTATTATTTGTTCTATATGAGGAGGTGAATTTGTGATAAATGTTTTCATACAAGATGAGCAATAGGTATGTATTTCTGAGTTTTGTCATGGAATATAAACAAGATACAATATGTTGGATTTACAGATGTGTGGAAGAGTTGTTAGAGTTGCCACCTTACAATCTGAATGCCATCACCTAGTTCAACTCTGTTTTGAGCAATTTCTTAAGTTTTGAAACTTTTTACATTTGGTGGATGCTCTTTTGGATTACATTTTTATTGATGCAATTATACCTGTTGTTTTACCATCTTGAAATGTGCAAAAGGAAATCAGACTTTTCATAAGATTTACTATGTAAAAACATTTAAAATTTTTAATTATGGTTGCAAATGTTTTCATCACAGTGACCTCGGATGCATGGAAGGACTGTATACAACTGAGAGTGTCTGTCAAGTCAGACAACTGTGGAGACAGTCAGGACTGTTCTGGCAAAGGTGTCTGCTACTCAAACTCATCCATGGTGTGTAAACCTGTCAAGCCACATTTGGTAGTTTTCTTTTAAATTTATACATTCTATATCCTATAGAAGTAGTAGTTGGAATGTATATATATATATACTCTAGAGTAGAGTCTTGACCATACAATCTTCCGTTACCTGACCTTCCTGCAAACAATGGTACTATGAAATTGTTTGCTATAGTTCCATTATGTACACCTTAGCAAGTACAGTCAAGAAAATTCCTTCCTTCCTTCATTGCTTATCTTTTCCCAGCCAATTATTCTTTTTATTTTTTGTTATTCTTTTGCTAAATCTGCTTTAGGTCAAGATGTATCGAACATATGAGGTAGTCTTGACTGTGTTATGATGTTACTGATTACATCCCTGGTGGCGACAGCCTTGCCTCGTGATCCATGCTGGGAAAGAAAGAAAAGTAGCTGCAGATTTTGTACAAGGAGCCAATGACAAAAATTCACTCTAAACATATCTCATGAGGCAAGGCCACCGTTGTCGAGGATGCAGTAACGTTATCACTCTGAAGTAGCAATCAATCCCAACTCCTAAACTCCATACATCTAGGATATAGGTAAATTAAACAAGACTCTGCTCTCTCCTGATGGAATGGCCTCTGGATCGTCTGAATGAACTAATATTGGTTTAGATTACCTGGTTGCTGTCAACATGTTCCTTGGTAGTTTACAACAACTACAGATGATTCGTGATGTAAAAAATATGGAGCATATTTCCAAGTCAGAATATATTAGTACATTGTTGCTTAGTTCGTTTAGAAAGCAACCAGGCAATCTAAACCTATTTTAGTAAGACTCAAACAGCACACTTACAATGTACGGTATTAAAAACAACTGTTTTTCCTCAGGATGGGTACGAGTGCCAGTGCTGTCCTGGGTTCATTGGACCACACTGTGAGGAGCAAGACGCTTGCTACCCTAGTCCCTGCCAGAATCATGGCATCTGTGTAGACATCTCCCAGGGCCACGACGGCACCACCTTCCAGTGCTTGTGTCCTTATGGTCAGTGCCACCGTGACTTTTGGTAGAACTAGACATTCCGTCCCCATGTTAAAATTGTCACCAGTTATAGAATAAAATGGGCAATTTTCTTGGAGTGGGGATGATCCAATGTTGAATGGCTTGTTTGTGAGGGAAGTCGGTGGCCTGGAAATATACTATAGTCTATTGTCTTTCTTCTTGAGATTTGATTTGATTCAAATAAATGTTGACTGTTTGATTTTTGGATTCCAGACTGAACTAAAATTTTTGTTTGTTATCTATATATCTAATTCCGTAAGCCCAAAAATTTACAATGAAATTGTGAGTGAACGGGAGGCCGTAGAAAGCTGGGAGAGGTCTAATTTTAAAGGTCTGGGCATGAAATTTTGGGGAAAATTAGCCATTTTCCTTAATTATGCACCAAAAGGTTATTACGGAATAAATTAATTCACATTTAAATAGCATGGGATACCAAGGTCATGTCTGCTTTGTTTACTTTAAAACATGTGGTTTAACTTTATTTAAAGCATATGGTAATTTGTAATATGTACTGTAATACGTATACTACTGTATTATAAAGCTGAAATAGACTTTTTTACAATTTTAAGGATCTGAATCAGTTAGTTAATGGAGTACGATTGGTTGTGTTAAGTATGTCTGAAAAAAGATAGAAGGAATTACTGGAGTAGGCAAAGGGAACATATTTTTGATGCTAAAATAAAACTAATATCTACAGATGCTAATATGCCGTTTAAGTTTACAAGGATTCAATTCCCATTGTGATTAGCTTTCGCTATTCTATATAAAGCACAAGGCCAAACCTTCAAAAAAGTTGGCATTTATTTGGAAAAAAACCAATGTTTACCCAGTGGCCAGCTTTATGTTGCTTTTAGCCGGGTAAAGCGGCCAGATGATGTTAAAATACTACCAAATAAAGACCAAGGAATCTACTTTAATATGGATACTGTAAAACAGAGAGTTTTTGCATTTTACAATTTGGAGGATCTCTATGTGTTTTTCCGAAGTGAATTTGTCTATATTCAACGAAATTTATATGTATTTAATTAATAGTCATGAAGATTAATATTGAAAATGTTCTTTAGTTGTATTACGATTAGAAAGTTTAAATTATAAACACACCGCATAAACAGTCCTTTGGAATTTTTATTTTAAACAGAGCAGACATCAAAATGCTTAATGCAGCTATGTAATAACTATCATACATATTAGGCTATAATATATAAAAATGTTAAACAATTATTCAAGTTAGGGTAACCCATGAGACTAATAATTTGTACAAAATAATTACTAGAATATTATAGGGGCCAGTGCCCCTACAAGCCACTAGTAGTAAGGTAATTGTGCAGTATTACAAGCTGTCTAGCACTCCCTGTGTACAACTAGTGTGTCATCAATGTATTTAAAGTACAGTATGAAAGAATCTTTTCTTCCACAGATTATGGTAATAACTATAATCTAGAGGTTAAATACCTTATTGATGCTAACGTAATCTATGGTAGTCTTAATGGCTACCGGTTTTAACACACTTATGGTGTTACTGTCAAGCCTAGATGTTGTTGTATTAGGACGTCATAACGTCTCCAAAATACATAAACAAGGGGGAACATTCATGAAAGAATAATACTGTATGGCCATACAACTCTCGGCACGGCTGCGGGTTCAGGGTGTAGGTCAAGGCTGATGAGTCTAGACCTATATTCGTTCGTAAAAATGTTTGTTTGTGTTCGTTTTCGTTATATATTGGTCTCGTTTATGTGTTTTGAAGACTTTATGACAACCTCCTAGGAGCTACAACCACGTCTAGACCTGCAAACGACACCATAAGTGTGTCAAATCTGGATTAATACTACCAAGGATTACGTTGGCAACAAGGTATTTAACTTCTAGATTAGTAATAGATAAGTAATCCGGAAGTCAACACCTCAGAAAGTATGGTAATAAATTAACAATCCAACTACCTTGTATTGCAGGTTTCACCGGAAAGGTGTGTGAAGACACGTCAGACCCTTGTGAGTCCAACCCCTGTCAGAACCGAGGGATCTGCAGTCCCAGTAACCTTACAGCCGCTCAGTTCAAGTGCGAGTGTCGGCCGGGCTACAGCGGACCTCACTGTCAACACAACCTGGACCAGTGTGCGTCCTCGCCTTGTCAACACGGCATCTGCGTTGACCAACACGATGGCTACCGCTGCTTCTGTCAACCAGGTGCGAGGGATAAGTTTTGATGAACTTTGACCTGCCTTTTGTAGCACACTTCAAATCAGTCTGTCTACCTGAATGCTCTTACCGAATTCGAGGCCTTTATTTTCCTTTTTGTAATACAAGTATAACAATGGGCATAAAAAATGTTTTCTAAGCTTAACATCTTCTATATTTAAAAGCCAGTGAGAATGGAGAATCTATTTAAAAATGGGAAATTCTTTTTATGAATTGAATGTATAATGTCATCTATGCTGTAAGCCTAGTCATGAGATATTTTAGTTATTTTATGGTAATTAATATAGTTTGACAAAATCTATTATAACATAACATATGTTATTTAATGGTTAATAAAGATTTGAATTCTCAAATAGATTAGAGACACAATAAAAACACATAAAACAAAAAAAGTTGAAGAATAACAATCAAGCAGTGATAAAAATGATAGTATGCATACATATTGTATATGGACAGTATATTTAAACTCACCTTTGATTCAACTTTAAATTCAATTTTCAAACTGTCCTATAGGGCCTACACCGATATGATACATAAAATAAGAACATGTCACAAAATAGACAGAGATAAAAATTTTTTAATGAAAAACATCTTACCAAGCTAATTCAGCTCTACAGGTTCTTGCCAAATTTAATTATAATCAGACTACAATTTACTTTACATACCGACACTAATCAAATAAATTGGTTAATTATATCTACCAATTTGGGATACCTAACGGTTTTCTCACCTTTGGCCGTATATTCTCCTAGAGGAATTTTCTCACCTCCCCTTAAGAATACTAGAATGTAAGTAATATTGGCGTAATGTCTAGGTAAAATGACACTGTTCAAATCAATTGGCAACTGGTATTGTAGGTTTTGCTGGGGATCAGTGTCAGTACGAGTACAATGAGTGTGAGTCGTCACCTTGTCTACACGGAGGCACCTGCACTGACCACATCGGCAGCTACAGTTGTACCTGCGGACGTGGTTTTACCGGCAAACGTTGTGAGCAAAAGGTACTTTGATTTTTATGAGTTCATATTTGCAATCACTTATGCTCTATAACAGAACAAAATTTGAAAAATATGAGTACTGTAGGTTGAGTGTGATAGCTGTCCAGGACTATACATTAGTTCTAGTGCTACAATAAAACAACTTAATACTACCTTTTGATATGAGACATTCCATCCCCATGTAAAAATTATCGCCAGTTTTTGTTATTGAAAAAATATTAGTTGACGTGAGTCACAGCTGGTTTAAATTACTGGTTTATGTTAAAATCAGAACAAGAATTCTAGACAGACTAGAATTTTAGAAACTAGCCACGGCCACCTTTAACTCCAGGCCTTCGAAGTGGCAACGTCGCAAATAGGGTTGTAGCAGCTGTTTTCTTTGAAAGCAGCTAATGGTATTTGTGTATTTACGAAAGCTTGGTTACTGGACTATGAAAATATTGACTCCGCTTTAAATGTACAGATATAGATTTTCAATTCATATTGTTTTGGTTTTCAATTCCGTATGTTTTATTTTCAATATTTTAATACATTTGTGTTCATAATACATGAATTAATGAGCTGGTGTCACCTGTATGTTACCTTAAGGGACGTCTGACACTAAACAACACCACTTGCGACGTTACCAATTCTACCAGGCCGCGGCCTGGAGTTAAAGGTGGCTGTGCACTAGCCCTTCTGTGACTGGCTCTCTCAACTATGTTTCTTTTAAATAAAAAAAATTGTGACAGCTGGTACATGTAGATGGGATGTATACTTCAGTATCCAATAGTCAATACAGTAATGGTACAGTACTTTGAATTTAGGTAATGATAAATTTATGAATTTGGAAGCTAAAAAACAGGTAGTAACAAAAATTATTGTTAAAAACTTTAGTGATGTCTATTATTGTAGTATACCAGCTGGTGTAAAATTATCACCTGATTGAAATATTAATTACCGTATTCAGTTTTTTTTAGTCCAGATGTTTTTTTACTAAGATTAAATAAACATCTAACTGATTAAAATGCAGTAAATTTGATTTCATCAATCCAGTTGGACCAACATATTACCTCCAGTCACTAAATCTCTCGGCTTGACTAAAACGTATATACACGTTCTATGTTGTATGATTAATTTGTTTGTTTGTTTTTTTGCCACAGGTAGACCTGTGTGATCCCAACCCTTGCGCTCACCGGCACATCTGTGTTGACAAAGGTAACACGTACAGCTGCGAGTGTCCCAAAGGCTTTACTGGTCCAGACTGTCTTCTGCCTCGTAGAGCTGTGAGTTCTTAGGGTTTTCTATTTTATCTTAGAGTTTTTTTTTTTTTTTTTTTTTTTTTAGGGAGAGGAGGGAAAATGCTTTTACGCACACAGGTAGCCAGCCTGTAGTGTGAGCTCCTGAAAATTGTCAGACTACTCACTAAAAAACCCCCTCTACTCTGTTGGACACAGACCTGGAATTGTTTGTCACATTACTTCAAGTCAGGCCAACATGTGACCTAAGCCCTCAGGGCTCGCACCGTTTCTGGCATTTCGATTCTTAATGACCTACAACCGCATCCCGGTCAAGGTCGATCTTCTTGGCGCGGAGAATACCCTGGATATAATGTGACACACAGGTCCAATTGTCCTCACCCTCCGTCATAATCGGTATGACCGTGTCCATTTTATCTTGGAGTGGTGAGCTTTGGAGTGGTGGTTTAGTGGTAAGAGCGTGGGACTTCGGTCCGTGAGGTCCCGAGTTCAAATCCCGCCAAATCACCAATGGATTTTATCTAAGTGATAATGCCGCAACCCCTAGGTATAGCCTGAAGTAATGTGAAAAACAATCCCGGGCTCGTGTCTAGCATCCTAGGACAAATTTTTTTTTATCTTGGACGCTTACAGGGGGGAGCTAGCGGTAAAAGACTAAATTTATAAAACTATAACTTCTGTATCCAAAAGTCAATGATACAAGTCTGTGTAATTTATATCTAATCATGATCAAGTGTGTGTGTGAAATTAAATTCATAAACAAAATAAAAAGAAGAGTTAACATAACTATAAACAGGGACCTAAATTAATAAGTACTGTTAGACAGTGTCGATCCGATCGCCTTAGACTATTGTACTTAGACTATAATATATTGCCAATTTAATAGAAACTAGAAACACAGTCAATATTTGGTTATTTTGAACGGTTATTTGCCATTTATTTAAATTAATCATTTATCGGTAAAAAGGTGTAGGCCCTAACTATACTCTTCATTTTTACTGTGCTATCAAATTTTACGTTGTTGTGATTAGTTCAAGATTTTTGAGAAAATTATAGAGACATATAAGTATATTATAAACGTTGTTAAATGTCAGCTTTAAGATACCGTAAGCCAAAAATATGTGATAAAGAGTTTTATAACAAAATTGTTTTTGAGTGGGACTTTACCCAGGACTCCTAGAAAAAGATACATAGGTTTGTCTCTCCTGAAAAACTTTCAGTGGCGCCCTAGATTTTTATTCTAATTTACTTCTACGTTTTTATATTTTAGGATTTCATTGTTAATACTGTTTGACTGTCTCAATATACACCAAAACTATATAAGATGTTAGCAACTCATCTTCAAGTGGTTGGAAAGGCGAGTGTCCAAGTTAGATCCTGAGAAAAGCCAGTAGCTTTTTAATGTTTTGGAACTGGACCCATCTGTGCTTGATCATTGGGCTTGACAAATATTACACTCACTTTGCACCCATATGTTCAGGTGAAAATACTTACTTAATACGTTTAATTGAAATGACGACAGTACGGAGGTAGGTATTTTAAGCCAAGTATGAATGGAGATGAGTGTAGGATGAGTGGCGCGATCTTGTAGTCTTGTTACTGGCTAAGGCTGGCATGTTCCTTAGACAGGACTATATATACAAAGTGCGTTGGTGTCTAAGAACAATTATTAAATTATATAGAATGTTGTGTTTTTGCAGGCTTGCAGTGCCAACCCTTGTCACAACGGAGGAACGTGCTGGAGTAGCGTAGACTCATTCTACTGCGCCTGTAGACCAGGGTTCACTGGCAAAATATGCAATGGTAACAATCCTTAACTTTTCTTTATATTCTATGACGATCGGATACGGGCCGAGCGGTGTTCAGATGCTGCCGTAACCGATCGGATACGCTCGGCAATGCCTTTCGTATATCTTCGTTTTTGCTCTAGCGTCAGTCGAAGGCGGATCTATACGACGTTAGCGTGTAGTGGGTGACTTGCTTTTGGATGGGGTGTAGGTTGGTAGTAGAATTTCCCCATAAAATCCCCGTCTGGCAAACTTAAAATCAACTTGTTGTCCCGTCTTCCTCCCTCCAATTGGCCATACAATGGGACCGGCTACGTTCCAAGCAGTGCTGCTATCTATGGGTGTTTAGCGAACTACGTCGACTCTTGTCGTAAAGCAGGACATCACTGAAGGTTATTTGCTATTCGTCATACCGAAATTTGAAAGCCAACCACTCGGCAATCGGGTTTGTTCGATGCCTGCCATTTGATGGGCCGCAGCGAACATGTTAAATATTTCAGATTTCTGGTTTGTTATAATATAATAACTTTATGATGTGTTATGTGTCATGAGGTATAAATTTTGATGTGTTTGTGAACTTAGTGGTTAGCTATTCAGACTTTGGGGCCCGGGAATGTTCACAACAATTTGAGGGCTTTGACGGCTTTTCCTAAAAGAGTTTGTGATTATGTAATTTAGACCACTGGCGTCTAACCATACCGTACTGGACTGTAATTTGTTTGTTTTTCTTTCTTTATTTCTTTTTATTGCAATTATTGAATTATTTATTTATAGTGATTATTTTAATATGTACCATTTTAATTTAAGTAATGACACCATTTTATCTATACAATGTGTACTTAATGAATAAAGATGTTTTCAATTCAATTCAATTCGATGTACCGTAAACTATTAAATGTTTATGTTACTAACTATGATGCTAAGTTATCAAAAACTAAGGGAGAACAACAATTTGATAGCACACTCTCAATGATTCATTCAACTATGCTCAATTTAAATGTAAAATAGTCTCTGCTAGCCCATATCTGATGGGGATGTCTACTTCAACATCTCAATTTCAATGGTATTAGTTACAGTTCCCCAATATGCTTGTTGTGTTAACCTACTGACAGTAGTTGTATGTTTTCAGAAGAGGTGATTATTGACGTTGTGCCCAGTACTGCCGGAGCTTTGGATGTTGACAACAACGTCCATCCCATGGATCTGCAGATGCCCATCTCTATTCATCTGGACCATCTACACAACATCTACGTGGCGGCTGGCACTCTTGCCTGCGCACTGCTCATTGTTGTACTCACGGTAATGTCATGTCACAATAGCTGTGTAATTCTGATGCTTTTACTCAACATTAATAAGCCAATTAAAACCAAGATCGATACCCGGCGTCTCCACATGTAACGGTAGGTAACCCCAGCTAACTGGAGGTTTACCCACTGTAATTTTGGGTAAAGTAGCTCATGAATAAAGTTCAGCACTCGCTTGCAAAACCGAACTTTATTAATAGCCTACAAAACAATACAAAGAACATATCAGCAATCTGACACATGCTTTCTCCCATTTGCTTGTTAAACCCTTATTGTGACCAAGCGGTGGGAGTAATTATGATATTTTATGGGAAAAAAATCACAAAAGTTGCAATAACTCTTAAACCGTGATTTTTACAACCTTGTGGATTTTATTTTACCATTTTATTTCTCGTTAAAAAGTACAGTTTGAGCCATTTTTGTAAACATTTGATTTTTTCAGTTATTTATTTATGGATTTTTTGGGAGTATCACCTTTAAAAACAAAATTTCAAAACAATAAAAAAAAAACTCCTGGAGATAGGCATGTTATGGATCAGTATCCACCACATACAAAAAATTTCATCAAAATCAGACCACACGTTATTCTGTAGCTCTGTACACGTCCACTCATTACTTTGAAAACCACTTTTTTGGGTTCTGGTAGACCCATAACAGATATTTTAATATTTTTAACTCAACCCAAAACTCACTTCTTAAAAAAAATAGTTTCTCCGTATACTAAGTATAGGGGTAGAAAATAAAAAGTATACGGTTGCTTGGTTTTTAATGACACATTTTTCAAGAGACAGTTTTGGAATTGAACTGACTGTACTTATTTGTTTTAACAAGTTGTCTATTTTGTTTGTAAACTGTTTGCAGTTATTTGGGTACAGGTTTGGTTAGATACTTGAAGAGAGGTATTTGATTTGATTAGCAAAGACAAAAAATTAAAGAGTTTGTTTAGTCTGGTATGACTGTATTAATCTTATTCTGATGGTTTGTACTTTAAATTTCTGGTTAAAGACCAAATAGCAATAAGAAACTGAAATTAACTGAAACTAGTGTACCTGTTGCTCGAATTCGAGCAATTGCTAAGTATTACAGGTGTTATTTTAAAATGAATACCAGTCATAATTTCTGATAACTTTAAAATATTCAACTCAAAGATTATGAAAATACTCAAGATGTACATGACAGATCGATATAATCAACATTAAATGTAAATAGTGTTTTCTACAAATAGCCTTACTCGTGGCCACATTAGGTTTCCAGACACATTATGTGTCCAAAAGCCTAACAGCACGACTCCCTTACCCATACCCCCCTGAGCAATAGGGATCATTGAGATTCGCTCTAACCTTTCCTCTCTCCTTCATGGGCAAGTTTTAATTCCTTTTCTTTCTTATTTTTTGTTTGTTTCTTTTTTTAATTTTAACTCCTGTATGTATCCCTGGTTTTTCCTATTTCCCTAGCTACTTTTCTAAATGTCTCAATTGTTTCCTTGTCACTCATCATGTTTTATTTTCTCATCTCTAGGCCTATCTTATCCAAGACTTATTCCTGTTCTCTCCTATTTGTCTCCTGAAGTGAACAATTTATAAATACGTGACTCGTGGTTTTTATTTCTCCACATCTACATAATTCCTCTTCCACCATGTTTAATCTTCACAAATTCGCATTGAAATTTTCCATGTCCTTTGACAAACTGCGTTTCATAATGGCCCATCTCCCAATCTTGTTCCAGTCTCTATCTGATGTTACGTATATATACGAACGTTTACCTTTAAAACGTTAACATAAAACACTCTGCTCCCAACGCATTTGCCACTCATCTAATATCTCCTCTCTTCTGTTTCCAATGTAGTCCTACCCGCCTCCTTGTCTTCCAAAATCAACAGCTTATGCAGCGATTATCCAACAGTCCTAAATTGAATATGAAATCTTCAGGCGGCTGTTGGAGAGCACACTTAAACCCAGTACGGAAGGGTGCTTGCTGTATTCGGCTATCAACGACAATAGTATTATTTGTATTTCGTTCTCATATACCAGTTAAAATTCGTCGGCTTCCTCCTGTTGGCTGTCCTGGTCAACGTCTTATAGTCTCCATTATGTCGAACGTTTTTTTTGGTTATGTTTTGATTTTGTACAAAATTTTAGTCTAACCAGCCGTTTCAAATATTAGTGTCAATTTGAAAGTATTCATCAGTTCAAATGTAAACAAACATTTTCTCCATAAGAATTCCAAAACAACATAACATGGGAACATAACACATAACATGAGCATAACATGGGAACTTTGAAGGCCACTGGGGCAGAGCCCTTATGGAATTCCAGAGTTTTTTTTGTTTGATGGAAAAACTACATGCTAAGACCTTTCTAACGACACCTTGGACATGGTGATCGGTAGCACCACCACTCCAAAACAATTATGACAAAAATTTGCCTAGCGTATTAAATATATAGATGAGAAGGGACAGCAATTTAAATTTCATTTTACATAAGAGACTGAGTTTATGAGCTTTTGTGAAATTATGAAATCACTTAACTTTTCAATTTTTTATTGGTCTTTTATTAAATTTTTCACGGAGTTTTTTCCCACAGACTTTATGAGGGGTTTGTACTTAAGTATGAAATTTTAGTCTTACTTTAAACTATTTTCAACTTCAGGTCGCAGCATGTCACTGTCGTATCCACGAGACCTACAAACACTGTTTCCTACGAGCCTCGCCACTGCTGCCGTGTAACATCAAACGCTTTGACACCGACACCAAACCTACCAGGTAAAATAAAATACTCTATTAAACTGTAATAAATTCTTTCAATTTATCATAAACTGTCTTATAAGTGAGGTTCATAACACACACTCAGAAGATGGCATGATGAAGTAAAATTTTTAGATTGGATTTGATTCTATAAGATTGTTTTATTATAATTAAAAGATTTTTAAGAACCTTCAATTTATTCACATGTATTTCCTCATCATATACGCAATTTCCTCCAGTATTTTACCAAATTAAGCTGAAATAGTAAATTTCTGAAGATCGAAAGATCAAACAGATTTGACAATGTAGGTAGATCACTCTAAATGACGATTCTTACACTCACTACACCTGTCCTAAGATAGTTGGAGGCAGCTAATATCTGCTGTCGGCTGGCAAACCTCCTTAGTTGAAGAGGCCAATTGGAGCCGAAACAGGAACTATTTAAACAAAACTAGGACCGTTAGGTCTTGCTATATTTGCGTTGTTCCTGTTTCGGCTTCGATTCGCCTCTTCAGCTAAGGAAGTTTGCCAGACGACAGCAGATTTCAGCTGCCTCCAGCTTACCTTAGGACAGGGTGTAAGAATCATAGTTTAAAGCTGAAATAGGTACTTCCTTTAATGTAATGTTGGGATAATTGTTTAAGAAGATAGAAAATCGTGCAGTCATTAGGAGACAGTGGTTTGATTCAGCAGATGTTATTTTAAGATGAGTTACATGTTACATTACGTACACATCTATGTTTAGGCTGGAGGTAGACAAGGAGCATATGCAGCCTCTGGCAGCGGCTCGGTCGTACCCTCATCTGGACAGTTCTGATATGTACTACGCCCTGGACTTCAGTGACAGCCAGAGTTCTCCTCTCATACAGTAGCCGTCTGTCATGTCACCAAAGGTCCACCCCGCAAGCAGCAGACCTGCTTAGATACCTCACCTCGCAATGAGGTTTGAGGTTGCTTTTAAGGGTTTATTTTGACTATTCAATTCTGAAATACACCCAGCAGTCTCTGTGATTGGACATTGATTGTTCAATTTCAACAATTGTTATGACAATTTTTAAGGGGTTGGAAATGGTTTTTTAGCGTTGAGAACAATTAAAAATTGTTTTCGTAATGAGTTTTCTTGGCTCTTTGAATAACGTTTTTTTTAATTGTCAAATGTACGATTGATGCTATGCAATATAATGAAACGTTTAAGCGTAATTATAATAATTGAAACATGAAAAAATATCTCTTTGGAGTGTAGTGATCATTGTTTTATAAGGTAGATTTGATTACTTTGAATAATAACATAAATAACAACTAACTGATAACACTTATAGAAATATTCGCAAATTTAGACATTTTATATTTCCGCATTATGAAATCTATTGGATGACTTTTCTGCTATTATGCAAGAACAATCGTGAAAAACAAATTGGTGTTTGTTGACAGTACAATCTTACAATCATTTCAGTGATACAAAAAACTGGTGCTAACTTTGCAGCATACTTCCTAATAAGAGGGAGAAGATTTTAAATTGAAATTAAACAACTTGAGATCATTTGAAAGTAGGAAACCCTTTGTTATTGTTTGTTATATTTATATTTATTACATTTAATACTAATTGTATCTTTCCATTACTATTAAGAGACCATTACTTAATTATTTTTACAATTAAAACATTAAATGTTTTTGTATTTTTTAATTCAGAAAATCTTGTTTGTTCAGTTTTCTAAAGCAGTTACAAATTTATTTAAACTTCCAGAACTGTACAATATTAAAATCAATTTCGTTTTCTTATTTTAACCTGAACAATGAATCTGTTGGTCTGTGTGGTGGACTTAAGATAGTTCAGTACTGTTATGGTATAAGTCGGTTGGGCAATGTAGCGGTAATCGCAGGGATAAAGTATTGGTCTTGAACCAGCAACGTCTGACATTTCAGCCCAAGACAGTACCACTGAGTGTACAAGCTATTGAGCAAGTTATATGAACCTATGCACGTTTCACAGAGTTGCAAAAATGGCGCATTTCCTACAAAACTGCATGGGATGGTAAAAAGACTCTATCAAAAACTTAGGCAAAAATGGTGATGTATTTTAATGTATAAAAAAAAAACTCAATTACTCAAAAATGGCCAATAGGATAGTGAGTCATTTGAGTTTTTATTGTTGAGTTCCAGGTGTATGTAAAATTGTATTACTTTGCAATGGACTCTTTATCGTTTTCTTCTCACATAATATTATCTACAAGGTTAAAGGTTGTGATTTAAAATAGTATTTCTACCCAATTTATACCATTTCCCACCATCCCCACACGTTTATTTTTTTTTAAATTATGCAATAGTGTACTTTTAAATTACTAAATATATGTTTTTGTAAATATATTCATAAATTGTATATGAGGTTATGACGGAATTTTTAAACCGGTGTATATACTTTGAGATAATAAAACCTCGCTAATGCTCCTACACAGTTATACGTACGATTTCGACAAAGAAAAGTATATAATTTGAAGTTAAACATTGACAATGTGTGTTCTATTATTGATGTCTATATATAAATGGCCTAACATTTTATATTGTTGTTAACAAACTGAATGTTATTATATGTTGATGTTATAATTTTAAGTTATAAAAGCTTTAGTTTTTTTCAACTTGACACAGTTTTTGTTTACTAGGAGGTTGAGCCTATAGTCATTGTATTTTTAGTTGTGAAAGAAATCAAAGATCTAGCCGACTGTTTTGCCTCTGAGCCTCTAATGACAATAATTTAATATCTCACTCAAAATATTTTTGTTTTAAACTTTTTGGAATTGGTTTTATTTTCAAAAATGTATAAATTGCATTGAAGTATTATATTCCAAATCATTTGCTTTCAAACGATGAGTAAATAAATATCCTAGAACATCTAAACTACGGTACACAATGCCTAGTAGTACAAGTGGGATACAGATTTAGTTGAAATATACAATTTATCTTGTTTAAACCATGATGTAAAAACAGCTAGGTAACTAGGAGCAACGTAAACCAACAAAATAGAAGGAATTGAATATGCACATTAAATTTTCTTCAAAGCAATTATAAAAAAATTAATTAACCAATAATTATTTGTATCCACATTAATTTTAATTTGTTCACTCCCATCACTTTCTTTTAGAGCTTGGAATTATATTGTTAAAGAGTACAAATTAAATTGACGATGCCATTGTAATGTTACATTGAAAGAAATCTTTGGTGATGCCCCCTGCTATGCCACAAATTATATAAACTATTCACATCATATTGGTATAGCAGAAAAAAATATTATTATTTCCTTACAAGATGAATTGGATTGCTGATTAACCATACAGGGGATCTAATTAATTATAGTTATAATTAATGATCCTGTATATAAATAATGATTATAAGAGAAAACACTAGTATTAAAGCAATATTTGTTATTTAGAACACCGTTTTACTATTTAAGTATTTTTTAAAAATATTTATAGTTTTATTAAATTTTTATAACACCAATTAATTATTAATGCATGAATAATGCGCTCATAAATATTTCTGCAGAGTAAATAAGGTGCTTATTGTACTTGTATTTTACTACTTGTTTTATAAAATTATCTCGACTATTCTACATAACATAATATATTTCATATTTATTTATGGCAGTTAATAAACACTTCACACAATATAAACTTGAACATAAATAAATGACATTGTGTCATTTATGTAATTTCTAGCTAAACAGCACAAATAATATAAAGTCATGTTAAACTTTTATTTTTTCATATTGGTATTCTTGTTTTGCTCAAGTTGGGCATAAATACTTACCTTACTTTAGGCCATAATACTATATTAGGTAATAAGAATTTATTAGTGAATTGTTAGATTTTAAAATAAAAAGTAAAGTAGATATTTAAAAATTCATTATGTTTCAACTGTTCAATTGTTATTGTACCCTGCTTATAAGGATTTCCTTTGTTTTTGTAAAATGCCAGTTTAAACTACACTAAATTTCTTGTATTATTGCACTGTGTATGATTTTTTGCTTCATACACAAAAATACGAAAACATTATTTGTACTTACATAATTTTGAAACCTTATAATAAAAGTCAGTTAAAGTTTGTTTCAAACAATTATTTATATTTCTAATGCTGCTCAAATAGACGTAGTTGAAAATTTGTATACTGTTGTCTGTTAAAACTGTGCATCCCAGTGTTAAATATCAGTGTAATAATTTTAATTATTTAGCTAAGCTTTTGTCAATTATTGTGATCACTGTTCATGTATTTCTATCAGTTTGATATCACTTTGCTTTACGGAAACTCAATTCAAATTAAAAGAAAATAAATTACTTTAAAACAGTAGTGTGGAAGTTTTTATTTCAAGAATTCAGGATTAAAAAGATTCACAGAAAATATAGCTGACGTTGCAGTTACTGTTAGAAAAACTAAGCGAAAGACCCCCTTTAACTTCAGAAAAACATATTTTGGCTCTACTATGTCCTTTTGTAGATGAGATCAACATGTGAGAGAAAAACTGCAGTAGGTAAAAGAATAATTTATAATATTACATTATTTACACAATCCTACCGCTCATAGTCATAGTATAAAACATTACTAAATTCCCTTGCTAAATCTTCAATACTTATAAAACCTAATGTCAATGTTTATTATCCATATTATCAGGTACATCAATGTCCTCAACTACTTTCAGTTTATTGTGCAGTTCATTTATAGCTTCCTCTTCTTCTGGTATTGAATCACTAAAACACACAATAATAAGTTAATATATCAGCCATTTAAAGTAATAAAAACAAATAATAATATGTTTTTTTCAGTTTTCAAAATCTGTTTTCTAATGTTTTATTCACAACATATTTAGACTTGTTAGACTGATTTGTTAGGAGTTTTCGCTTGATATACAATTTGTGTGAGAGACATATCAATTTGTACCAATAGGCCTATTAATATACAAAAAATGCTTGTTTACTTTCAGGAGACAACAAAGTAATTTTTGATTTGGTGAAATTAATTCATAAGTTTACAGTTACATGATCATCTATAACAATAATACACCCACTACGGCAATCCTGCAGACTAAGCGAATTTCCATTTTGACTTTAATCAAAATATCCACCAACAAGCAAACTACAACAGGTTACTAATTCCCATAAGATCAGAATACAAATTTTAAATTTATATTTTTGTAAATTTTCTCTACAACCAATAACTGTACAAAAACAATTCAGGTACACAATATATTTTGTAAAGCTCTACAAAATGGTTTGGAGAGAAATTGTGAAATTCCATGTTTTGAGGGTCAAAAATGAGAAACACAAATTTTTATACCATATAACTGCGTTGCCATAGTCCAATCATATTGGTTCGCGAATTCGTTTGAATAAACGTATCTTTACATGTTAGAACCGAATTTCATCAAAATTTTGATAATTTTTACTTGAGTTATTGTTCTAACGGACACATAAAAATACTTATATGAATTTAAACGGATGCTGTTTTGGCATCTGGGGACATCAAAACAAAAAAGTTAATCGGTCATAAATTAGACAACAAACAAGGTAAATATAATAATTATTCTACTTATAAAATATATATACCATTTTATATTGGTCTATTGATTGAACATTTAAGACGTACAATGACTTACCTACGGTTTCGGTACTCCTCGATCGGCGTGTTCTTGCTGCTTTTTCGGTTTGACTGAGGAGACGTTAATGCAACGGTTTCGTTGTTTACCTAGTAACAATAATTAGATTCCCACATTCATTAATTATATTTAGAAGATATCCATTGTGTAAAAAATAAATTAGTATTGGGACTTTTCCTGATTTTAGTTAAATATAGTGAAATATGTAGATAAACATATTGAAGGGGAAATCCCCTGTAAAAAGAAGTCTTTCAAGAAATGCACTAGTGTTTTAGCAAGATATTGATTTTTATGTGCCATACGAAGTTTAAGTCAATAACGTTCAACAGATGAAGGAAAATACCATCCTGAATAAACATCACTAAACAGTCTACCAATTAATTTTAGAAATATTTATGAAGTTATTAGGGAATCTGCTTTCCTTATTAGACTTGTCAATTACATTTTATGATTGTAAAAAGTATGTTGATTGAAACATAATTTTAAGTAGGCAAATAATAAAACTAGTTTCTGTGTCATGGGTGATATTTTATCTAATTTCTCTACTGTAATCTGTTTTGTCTCTTTAAAATACTTTGTACAGTGATTTTATTTTTTCAAAATAAATTATGGTCATGCAACTTAGCTCTATGGATATGCTACAACCCAATGCAGGAGTGTTCAGGCAGTATTTAAGACGATGAGAATTTCATGCAAAGCTTCTTAAGCTCGTAGGTTTAATGAATATTCTAAAGGTGCTAAAACATCTTTGCAATTCTGTATATCTTTAGTGAGTTAGATTACATAACCAACCTACTGTTAATTAACTATACACTTTTCAACCTCTACACATTTGTTTGGTAAAAATCAACATTATTTCAAATTTTTAACTTCTTCACTCCTTATTATAATTAATTGTTTTTATGTTTGTCAATAGAAACCAGGTGAAAATCACTGGAGAGTATTGGCAATAAAATATATTTCTCAGTAACTAAATTGACAGAGTGTGTTCAGATGTACAGCAAGCATACCTTGGTAGTATGCCTTTGCAAAGGTGCTGGGGCTGGAGGTTTACTGTTAAGCTGAGGATTGGAGCTCTTGTGGATATGACCGAGCTCTATCGAAGACTTGAGCAAGTCAATCTTGGGACTGCTGTTTGCTCTAGTACGAGCTCGCGTGAGCTCTATCGTAGTACTGTTGCGTCTACTACTGTTAGTCCGGTAGAGGTCTAGGCGCGAACCTCTGTCCAATGACGTCAAGGATCCTCTATGGTTGAATCTTATCATCAAACTCAATCTTTCCGCACTCCTCATCTTTTCTTTTAACGTTTCTTCAAAATCGTCATCTTGATTGAGCCGTTCACCCTCTCCGTGATCTGAAATACCATTTCTTTCTTGCGTGTGACTTAATGTGTAGGGTGTTAGTAGTTAGTAAGATGTCACTTGGTTTTGAAAGTATTTAAAGGATGTTTTTCAGAATAATTTATTTATACACTTTGGTTTGATTTTTCTCTACTGTTCTATTGTAAGAGAAAAGGAATCTTAAGAATGAAAGGTATGACATGCAAACCAAACAAGATGAATATGATGTAGCTGCATGAAATGTAGTTGTCAATATTTTTTGTAATTCACACTAAAACTTGGAGAATATTATAAAATATGTTAGGGCGTTTTAGCAGAAATGAAACAGCAACAGCAACGGTTTGCTCGAGATATTTTCTGTTGTTGATGTACCGGGAACGCTGAGTGTTTTTAGTTTCTTTTAAAAAGTATAAGTAGTTTCATTCAATAGACAGAGTTTCTACTAACTCATGTTTCTCTTAACAAAATTTGTTTCAGGGGCCATTGGTTGTATATTTCTACTCTTAGTCTTAGTATTTGGTATTCTTAGAAAGCGGGGTGATCTTAAATCAGCTTAGAGGTGGCACTGAGCAAAGCCCAGTTCTGGTACTTCCGTACTTCAAATTTTTTTGAAAGAAGCGTCAAATCAAGATTGTTGATGTTTACAAGTGGTTTTCAAAAAAAAAATTCAAACAAATCCCAATATGAAAACTTTGAATGAACAAAATATGAATGAATGTCTAAATCCGGCAAAGCTGTTTGTAAGATTTGATAAGATTTTACCTGAAGGTTCCTCAATGCTTTTACTCGTGTGTGTCTCATTGTACTTGTGAAGCCAGAAGAAGTGCAGCATTCCGTACACGACGCCACTGATGGTTCCCAACAGTCCCATGATCTGGAAAGCTTCTCTGGTTCCGTAGGTTCCGATCAGTAGACCTCCGACAAAACTACCACTTCCTCGTCCTATTGTGAAACAAAGAAAAACATTCCAGAATTACTCCTTGTTGTCAAATAAAGCCATTGTGAGTTTGAATATATTGATATACTGATCTACACTATGATTCAGGCTGGTTTTGAGCAGGAAAAGGTGTTAGAAGTTTACAATTTCAAACCAGTTTGTTAAGTCAATTTTTTTTAATTTACTTTAAAATCAAACAGTAAACTTGCCTAAACTGAAGTGAGACATTCCCAAAACTCCAATGAGAGTTGCGAGTAGTGTTTTTGGTGCAATGATTGCACAATATGTTGCAGCAGCAACCCACATGAGGTGCACCGAGAGAGCTTCGATGGCCTCAAAAGGAAAACACCACCAAGCACTCCTGAAAACCAAAATAAGAATAATGTATTGGTCTTAAAAACCACAGCTCAATAGACATAGTCGACATTTAATTTATTAAACAATAACACAGAATAATTCAGACAACGTTTCAGTGCTCGTCTTCAAATCTGAAGGTTGCTGGTTTGGTCTAGAGCAAAATCGATTCTGGAATCAGATGTCATTTGACACTGGGCTATCAATTAACGATTCTATCTAACAAAAAGCTGTAAGTTACAAGACTGTTACATATGGTTTGGACAGTTCCATTTACGCAATATTAAATAATATTTACTTTTGGGCCATCAGTAACATTATTTGTATTATGATCCATACCGTGTCTGTTTTAGAATCAACTGTTTAGTTGAAACAGCTGACAACATTCTTTAATTCCTTTTAAATATGAAGAACTAGCTGTACCCGCGGGCTTTGCCCCGTTTAACTTCATATGTAAGCTCGTTCGCATGGCTCAATCATGTCCTGGTTGAAGTTCGTTCGCTGCGCTCACTTGCCTTCAGGTTAGCTTGTTCGCTACGCTAACTCGCCTCCAGGTTGAAGTTCGTTCGCTACGCTCACTGACGTCTTGATTGCAAAGTAGCTGTTGTCAAAAATAAAAATAAAAAAATAATAGTGCTGCACCCTGTTGGTAATCCTTGTAACTTTAATGCTATTGAACATCATAGAACAGAACCAACTTGTTTAATTGAAACAGCTGTTAAGATTCATTAATTCCTTTTAAATAAGAAAAACCATAAGGTTAACATGGGAAACTCCAGAGCCACTGGGGCGGAGCCCGAAAGCCCGATTAGAATAAAAACTACTTAGTTTTCCTATTTAATGCCCAAAGAATCGGTGTACCGAATTTCAGCCTCCTAGGTAAATGGGAAGTGGGAGAATTAGTGATGAGTGAGTGAGTGAGTCAGTCAGTGAGTCAGTGAGGGCTTTGCCTTTTATATATTTAGATACTCATGAGGTAAACATGGGTAACTACAGAGCCACTGGGGTGAAGTCTAAAAGGATTTTTGAGGTAACAATATGCCTACACATTAATCGAGAATGTGAGCTATCATCATGCCTAATTTCAGCCCAATCCGGCAAGGAAGCTAATGCAATATTGAACTTGATTGAAACAAAAAAAACAAACACACAAACTTTCACATTTATAATATTAAGTATTAGTATGATAGCGTGTCTGTTTTAGTATTCATGTTACCTATTTTAGAATTTTACATTTTTTTTTCAAGAAACAATACTTACTCTATGAAAGAATAGCCCATCAGTCGAGCAGCGTGAGCAAAAAATGCAATCACAATTATGTTGACATGACCAATTTTCTTTGTTATTCTTTCAGCCCCATAGAGGAAAGGAATACTGCTTAATGTCCCCACAGTGACTGTGATACCTGTATAGGAAAATATAAACAATAAGGAAATGATAACTCCCCTATTATCATAGAATTTAAAAGAATCTTATTTCCTATATTTTTTAAAAGTTAAGTTATGAAAGGTTTTTCATGTAAAATGTGAGCTTATGAGCTCCCGAAATGGTTGAGTTGTTATGTATGTTAAGAATGTTTTGTTATGCATATTGTAGTAGTTGATACCAAAGTTGTAAGTTTTAATTCTGTAAGATACAATACATATCCATTAAAAATTGTAACAATTGACAAAATCCTTATGATAGTATTTGAGAACTCATATAATATATAAATATAATCAACAATGGTGTAACTACCTGCTGAAGTCTAGACTTTTATTTTACTTACAGAATCAGCTGATCGAAAAAAAGTTTATGTTCTTGTTTCTGAATATTTTATGTATTTAAATACAAATATTTTTAGAAGCATGTCCATGTACAACCTAAAATTGGCACCAATTGTCCAGCTTCCCTGGGAAATTGGTTGCTGAATACAATTTAAGGGCTTAATAAGTTATATTGTTTACAATATTTAATTTTCCGACTGATAAAGTGAGCATTCTTTACGGTCCGTCACATTACTCGCCACCTGAGTGTCTAGTAATCTTTTCCCTCAGTTTATTAAACTGCTTTATTCAAAATTAAACTGCGTACAAACCGTTTCTTCAAACACCCGACACTTACCCAACAGATAATTCGGAGCACCAAGTTCCTTTAAGTAAAGAAACAAATACGATTCAATGAACCCCCAGCAGTTTCCGAGGAGGAATAAGAAGAAGATGAACATGATAACGTGAGGCAGTCTGAAGAGCCTGATCAAGTCTCTCATGATGTTGTCAGCTGGGACCTTGGCTCCTATAGGCATCAGCAGTAGCGAGATTGTGGAGATGATAAGAAGGGTGTCGTAGGTGTAGAATGCGGCCGAGTAGTCTGTGTAGCCTGGACAGAGCGGGAAACACAAGTAGTAAAATAACCTTTAAAAATACTTGACCTTGTACTATTTTTGGAAACTAAGAAGACATCCCATCTATATGGACCAGCTGTCGCCAATTTTTTTATTAAAAAAGAAGGTAGTTTTGTGAGTCAGGCACAGTGTGCACTATTGTCTAAAATAATGTTGTGTACCTTATTTTTTGTTACTGAGATAATTTACATGACATAAAACATGCTATAGCTTAACAATAAGTCAGTGCTAAAAAGTCTGCATATACAACAGAAATTAGTAGTTTATACATGAGTGAAAATTTAAAAACGTACGTTTTCATGTCCCTGGCCTTTTACTTCGTAGATACTGGAGTTATAGTTTATTATTATGTGTTTTAATATTTTTTGGGACGGGGGCAACATGTTACACACATTTATTTGGTTTTAAATAGGATCTAGGTATTTTTTTCGTATTTTTAAAGTCTCGAAATTCACGACCATGACGTGTCCCTAGGGTACATTTTCCAACTTTCACGCTGTTTTTAGACTAATAATTCATGCCGAAATATATAAAGCCATATGTTTATGTCATCAATGGTTATTAAACTTACAAAAAAGGAGCATATTATAATTTTATTGTCATTGCAGACTGACTACCATGACAAAATAAGTCTGTCCCTCGATTTGGCGTCACGACCATTTGGGAAAAATTTTCAACTTTGGAGCACGACAGTGGCAAGCCTGGCGTCGATGGAGTCAGTTGGTTTTATAGACTAGTTCGGGGTGTACGTCAGGATTGTAGTGCCGGTCGTTTTGAGTTGAAAGGAGGAATTACAAGATTAATAAAGGAAAGATTGTGTTTTTTGTATTTTTGGTGTGTCCATGACCGTACGTAGTCATTCGATGAAGTAGACATGGTGTTAATTTTTGTTTATAAGACATTTCAATTGCTAGATTAACCTAGAAGTCCACTTTGTATCCTCGAACATGAGGTGCAGGGCTACCGCCAGAACAGAGCCAAATAACACGTAATTTCACGACCAAAGTTTCACGACCATCGCGGTTTTTTTCACGACCAATCCAGCCTTATGGATTATAGTGTGTTTGGTCGTGACAATAACTTTAATATAATTGTAAATTGAACAGTTAAGTTCAATTGAAACACATAGTTTTATTATAACTAACAGTCTAATTGAAGGATTGTTTAGAAAGATTTTGATTATTCCAGAGAATTCACGACCGTACCGCTTGTCCCTGACCATCACGTTTATGATTTCTATCATAAAAATTTCAAAAATTAAAATATCGTCATATTTCAATGTTTTATACACAAAAGAAGCACACCTCTATACAAACATAACGATTTTTTGGGTCTCAGGTAAGTTTTTTCGGAGTTATACAAACTTAAAAAGATTTATTGGCTTTTTTCTATTTTTTTAGTTTTTTTTATTTTTTTCTAGAAAGACCAAATATACCAAAAGCTCAGTGACCTTTTTATTGTATAATGGTCATAAAAGTAAATTAGTTTATAGCAAAACATAGTTATAAAAATAATATTAACTATTTTTAATATTCATTTAAACGTCCGTTATGGTCGTGACAGGATTTTGTGTTTTTCTACGAAAGATGCTCTTTAAAAAGAAAACTACCAAAGATATTGCGTTACCATGGACATTTTATGAAACTTCAAATGTTAATGAAATAAAAAAAATAATAAAATTTTTGAAAAAAGGGGAAAAAAATTTGCAAAGTGCTTTTCCTGAAAACGTACGTTTTTAAATTTTCACTCACATACGCAATCTGCCAATTGCTCAGAATAACTAAGTACATTTTGATTAAGAAACTGGCGACAATTTTAACATGGGGATGAAATGTATAGTTCTATCAATAGTCTAAGCCACTAATACTAGGATAAAACCCGGTAGCCTATGGATCATAAACATAATCAAATGGCGTTGTTGGCCCGACCCTATACTAAGCATTAACATATGTTTTGGCAGTTCCGTTTAAGCAATGGTAAATAATGTTTATTTTCAGGCCAAAAACATAATTTGTTTATGTTTATGGTCCAAACCAGTTCTTTTCAAGTATTCGTGGTCTAAGCTTTTGGATAGTTAAGTAAGTAGACATCCCATCTAAATGGACCAGAGCTGTTTAGCTTGAATATATCAAACCATACAGGAACTAACAATAATGTAATAGCATAGATAAAACATACTCCTTTAGTAGATATCTCATCCTAATGGAACAGCTGAAGCCCATTTTATTGTTAGTTCTGTATGTTACACTGTAGAGGTCGTGTTTTATTTACAATCTGTTCCTAGTTATTTCAGTCATTTAAAAAAAAACCTCGTTAAACCAAATAATAGACTATCCAATCATAAACAATAACTCGTCCCCTAGTTATACAGGGTGTTCAAAAAAGGTGGTGACATATTTTACCTAGTGATACATTAGGTGAAAATAAAGAGAAAATCACGTACAACATTTTTTCCAAAGTTGCTTCGTTAAGCAGATATCAGCCATTTTGTATTTTTTACATAAACATTTTTATCTTTGGACTTTTTCAACCAATCTTTATAAAACTTGGTATGTATGTTAAGGTAGAAGAGACCCATGTTAGAAAAATATCATTTTGATTCAACTTAAAATTTCAAAATAGCCACCATTTTGCAATTTTAAGTTGAATCAAGATGATTTTTTTCTAACATGGGTCTCTTTTATCTTAACATACATACCAAGTTTTATAAAGATCTGTTTATGTAAAAAATACAAAATAGCGGATATCTGGTTAACAAAGCGATTCTGGGAAAATTTGATTTTATCTTTATTTTGGCCCAAGGAATCAATAGGTAAAATAAGTCCCCACCTTTTTTGAACACCCTGTATAACCAAACAGTACAGGTAAAATCAAGAAATTTAACCTAAAACAATAGAAACAAAATTTTGTCGACACTAATGCCCAGTGTCACCGTACATGAACTAGACACGAAAAACAAGCTTCAACACATTTACAATGGGATGAGAAACTTGTGTTGGTAAGTCTATAGTAATAATATGCTTGAGATTACTTGTGTAGCTTTAAAACAGCAATCAAAATTTTAAACTTTTACCTTTGCTTTTACCCAGTTTATAGCACTTTTGCTCTTCGAAACCAGCTGTTTAAAGCTGTGTAACGATCAGTAAGAGGTTGACCAGTTTAAAAACTTTATACAGACAAATCAACCTGTCTAGATAGTTTAAAATATATTCTGCTAACCTAATTTTCGACTCTTAAAGTCAATTAAGACACCAGTAAGAGGAGAAAACACAGCCATGCCCAACGTGGAGAACAAGCGCTCTCGTCCGAACTCTCCTCCGTATTTCTGAAAGCAGAATAAAAAACGTCACTTGATGCATTTCCACTATTAGAGTTGAATGATGGATTCTGATCTGATAATCAAACTGTAATGGGACTGGAAATGGTATGGAATTACTGTACTGAAAATGTCTGATTACCAGAAATAATACTAAACTTTTGGGCACTCTAAATATAAAGTTTACGCATTATTGAAAAAGAATATGCACATGAATGCTTGTAGTGCAGCGACTCAAAGGAAAAAAAACTGATCATCTGCTATTCGACTGCAATTATTTTCTTGAGGTTAAACGGGCAATTGAGTAAGAGGGAGTCATCTTCCTAAGGAGGAGCTGATCAGTGGAATTAAGACATTTTATCGTGTTTCTGGACATTGAAGGTCTCTAAAAATATCGACTGACTGGTGTGCGCAACATTCGGCAATCTGTATAACACGCCTTAGGATCTCAGCATTTCCCTTCCAGATATATGGATAAACATTGTTTACCGAATACAAAAACTATTTGAATTAGTATATTAAATCCAGCGTGAAGCTGTAGGCCTATCGGAATATTGTAAAGTATAACTTACACTTTAAAAAAACTAAGGACTTCCTTCATTCCACAAGCCATTCATTAAAGGCTAAACAGTCAGGACTCAATTGACCAATATGTAATTAAGTACAGTAATGAACTTCTTCTGCCAAATAATTCCCAAAATATTCACTTCAAGGACTGTAGAATCGGACTGTACAACTGAACTGAAAAAAACTTGACACTCCTGCCACAACTGGAATCAAATTCCAGTACTGTACAGATAACAGCTGATGAATCAACCAGACATAAGATTATTGAATGTGGTTAGCGTCCCTACATGAGATTAGTTAGAAGCTAGTGGTCAGCGACTTGGCTTAAAATACCTACATTGTATGGTCGCCATTTCATAAGAAAGTATTAAAGCGTCTTGGACTTTAGTGCGGGAGGGATGGGTACAATTGCCGCACATCCACAACACATTGGGTTTGGTCTGCTTGCCCAGCGTTTAAGTACACTGTACATTACTACATCGTTCTGTAAAAATGCTACCGGCTTAGTCATAACGTAAATGTAATTGAAATGACCTGGATCATGGTGAGAGCGATGGGATCCATCACTGTCACACTAGCTGATAACATTGTAGTTCCAACAAATCGCAGGAAGAAGTAGAGCCAGAAGACGTGAGGGGCAGACTCCTTGTAGTCCGGAGGGCAAACATCTGGGCCACCATCTCTGGAAACAATGTACATCAGTATCATGGCAATTTGTAGACACATTTACTAAGTTACAGTAGAAGTTAGGCAGGTAATCCTTTAGGTGAGAGCTTTGTAGGTTTGAGGTATGAATTGGACATTAGCCAATGAATGTTAGAATTACGGAGTGAGTTGAACAATCAAAGTGTCAAGTCACTGAAATTATAATTTTACTTTGTATCTCTTAATTGTTTTAAAGCTATAATAACAGTGTAAAATATCTATTACTGTAACTCAGAAGTTCCCTGTTTCCTTCTCACCTGAACATACACTTCTGCACCATGCAGTCCGCGGCAAGCTCTTTGAGAGTTTTGTACGTAGCGTCAATCGTTAGGTTTGACGACAACACGACACCACCACATCTCAAGTCTTCATTCTCCAGAGCTGCAAAATTGACGCCTGCTTTGACGAGGAGGTCTTTACTAAAATGCTGCGTGAAGTTGGTCACATCTTCGTCCTCATCTGGTAATTTTGATAGTCCTAAAGTTAAACAAAAAGATTCTGATAAAATGTTTGTATGATTGGTCATAACTAAATTTTAATCTTCAGGAGTATACGATTAAAATTAATCTGAGCTAACTGTAGATGTTGAGCCAAAGCAATCATTTTGAGGACATCAACTCCATCAAATATCTTAAACAGTATACTTTAAGTCATGATTGATTTGAAATTTGAATACATTTATTTTGAATACTGATTCATGTTTATACAAGATTTAAATTTTTTTAAAGGGAGAGGGGATTTGTGCTCTAGATAATTATTGTTACAGTGATTTCAATGACCAGAATCAAATCACCATTTCGTATAATATCATAGACTTTACAAACAGCTGAATGGATTCTAACGAAACTAATATTTACCCAAGTTCTCAATGGCTTCTCCGAGATCTGGATGCATCGTGACCAGGATGTTTATTGCTTGTTGAATTGTTTCATTCTGCTTCGGTAAATTGATAGTCTGGAAGGAAACCGTGGCTTCAGGAACGGTAGTATCAAGACCAAAGAGAGACGGGCTTGAATCGTTCAGCAATAAAAACTGTGCCCTGTCAGATCTGGTCCCGTTGCCGAATTGGAATTTTCTGAAATTAAAATAGATGGATGTTAACCCCTTTTAGCGAATTTCCCTATAGGGAAGTAGCTATTACCGTAGGTGGCATGGTAAGACTTAGGCCCGGGAACTACTGTATTTACTTTTTCATTTTGATGTCCCCAGAGGCCAAAAACACCATTCGTTCAAATTTTTATATATGTATATATATATATATAGATTTATATATATATGTGTCCATGAACACGATAACTTGAGTAATCTTTGTCCGATTTTGATGAAATTTGGTTTGAAGGTGTAAGGTGGGATAAACTTGACGAACCAGCAAGATCGGACCATGGGAATGGGGTTTTATGGGGTAAAAATGGGGTTTTCAAATTTTTGACCCTTAAAACATAAAATTTCCCAATTTCTCTCTAGACCTTCTTAAAGAGCTTTTAAAAAAAATAATTCAGTATATCAAAGTGTTTTTGTACGATTATTGGTTACGGAGAAAACTAAAAAATATGTAAATTTAAAATTCCCATGTTATTCTTATGGAGAATATTGTAAAATGTTGTAGTATGCTTGTTTATGGATATATTTTGATCAAACTTGGAAAATTTGTTAATTTTATACTAAGCTATTTTACTTAAAAACACACTTTATTAGTTTCCTTTTAGCAGAAAACCTAGGTACACGTTAAACCTAATGTTATATAAATAGATTAATTGCAGGCAAGTGGAAATTCGCTTAGACGGCAGGTTTGCTGCGGCGGGGGTATTTGTATATTATATTTGATAAAACTATGATAAAGTGATTAGGGGAAACTAATTTCATCGAATTAGAAGAGCCAACATTTTTGTAAGTAAATAAGTCAAATAAATTAATTGTAAGTAAAGTATCGTTTTGTAAACAAATATAAACATATCATTTTATGAAAACCACAATTATTAGTAAAAAAACCCAAGAAAGGACTTTTTATTTTGACATTACCTTGTGCTGTTTTTCTTCTTTTTTCCAGGTACAACTGTAAAATTCATGAGGTCAACATTTTGATGAGGTGGCACTGGTTTGCAGTTTGGTTGCTGTAAATGCATAACTTTTATAAGGATAACACAAATATTTTCAATACTATAATTTATTCTTTACATGAATTGAGCAATAATATTTTGTAATTATTTATTTTCCTATTAGAGTATATTTATCATCATTCTGTACAGAAAGTGATCTAATTTAAACAGCCGCTGTAACTAGACGAGTTACAACGCGAACCACTTACTTGCACGACTAGATGTTGACTGAGATGTTTCTGCAGGCAAATACCAAATTTACTTACCGAATAGCCCTCGTAACAGAAAATAATATTAAATATTGAAGACTTCTTGACATGATTGCATTGCGTTGTTATCAATTTCGTTAATAAAATAACACTACTGTAACAGACCTACAGAAAATATAAAATCTTCGAATATCACCAAAATAAGTCATCCCATACCCATGAAAAAGACTACCAAGGTAAGCTGAAAGGACAACTAATTGTATACTACAGTGTCTTTTATGCCACATCAACTATTGTACTATCAATAGCACACTCTGAAAGTTTATCTCTCAATTAAATTCTATTTGAGTATAAATTGGCAACAGCTGGTCCATATACATTAGATGTCAATTCAGAATTCCAAAGTCAATGATTAAACTCCCTATAAAACCTGTAGCTAACGATACTTAGCTTACGTTTTTGTTGGAGCAGACGATGGGAGGTCGCGGAGGAATGTTGGGGAAGCTGCGTTGGTAGACGCCGTCGTGAGAGATGTTCTTACGAGGCTGGCGGAGACAGTGGTCCACGCAGTCGTGCAATACTAAGGACAGCTGTTCTTCATCAGGACACTCTCTACTAGGACAGGGACTCCACCACACCTGGACAGCAACCATAAATACCCACACTGAAAATTGAGTTTGACCCCTTTTATTCAAAGGATGGCCAAGAATTAAGGTTTTTTTTAAAGGGGGTGGAGTTTAGCTGCTGCATCCTTGGGTAAGTTTGAGCCCATTTACTAAAGATACATAATAAATGTCAAACAACATGTCCTCATGTTTTGTATCCATTAAGGACTTCTTTAGACAGTTTGTTGAAAAGTTTAAAGAGAAACATTATTTTAAATTCAAAACTGGAGTAAACTTCAGTCTTACTAGTTGTGGCCATCGTATAAAAAAGGCTAAACACTATGGTGCCAAGTAACATACACACAATAAGAAAATAAGAATTTATTTGAACTAATGGAGAAAGTCTTGAACAATGTAATCAAGACAGAAGGTTGCGGTTTTTAAAGAATAGGTTAGAAGGATATGGCTATAGGGGGAGAAAGTAAAATATCAGAAATCAAGTGGGATTACCTCAACTTTCTCTGTCGAAGGATCCCTCATGATGTATGCTGCAGGAACTTCCCCAGGTATCTCCATTTGAGGAATCAACATGAGGGAATGATGGAACACTAGGTTGAGAACCAATGAGAACAAGACTACCGGCTTGTAGTGACCGAACTTGTCTACAAGGAAACCTGAAATAGGCATATTATTTAGTTCATTATGTAATATTTTGCTGTAATGTTAAATGACTTCTATCTAATGTCAAGTGATTCTGGGGGATACAGCTGGTCTAGTGGTAGAACTTTGGACTTCAGTCTCTGAGGTTCCAGGTTCAAATCCTGCCAATTTACCAACGGATTTTATGCAAGTGGTAGTGCTGCAACTTGCAGGTCTAGCCTGAAGTAATGTGCAAAGGGATGGCAAGTCCAATTGAGTTTGCATGGAGTGGTTGTAGGTTATAAGGTATGGCACTCTGCATGAAGGCCAAATCGTCAGTGAAGGTTAGTGTAAACGCTTAAAAATAGCGCTGTGCGCTTAAACGCGCAGTGTTTTAAATATTTGCTTGAGGGTTTTGTCAAGCTTAACACGGTCCTCGCCAGAAGACAATGATTCTACAATAAGTTTTGCTGCTCAACCAGAATCACCATCATCATGGTTTTAAAATCTGAACCTCTAAATTACTCATTTGCCAACAACTCATTTGATAAATAAATGCTTACACAATTGGCCATCTCTTTATTAATTAAAAACAAAATTGAAATGGTGTGGACTCACAAAAAGTACTTAATACATTATTTAAATGTTGAAAGTGTTTTACCTTACCAGTAACTGGAGGGCTGAGGAAGGTGGTGAGGGGCAAAGCCAGGTACACAATTGCAATCTCCTCCACTGTAAGGCCTATACTCTGCATGTGAATAGTTAGGAATGGCAGAAGTGACCCGGTGGCTAAAACAAAACATTTTGTAAGAAGATAGTGAAATTCATCCTCATTAAAAACTGTCTTACTTCCTCTTCACCGCCACTGTTTGAAAGCTAGATTTTCTAGGCGTGGAAGCAAAGTACGGAGAAGCGATTTACATGGCAGTCCGTTTTGCTTCTAGGAAAACAGTAACATTAAATTACCTGAGAAAAGAGAAAAGCTGACCCAACTCCCTGCGTTCCACGCCTAAGAAAACCCAGCTTGAAGACTGGATCCATCAGCTAAAATTACCTTTATGGTGAGTTAAATGTATAGTGCAAAACCTGTGTATCAAATAGCTTTGACAATCTTGAAAATTTCCCTTAAACAATATTTTGAGTTAAAAATTTGTTATTTCAACAAGCAAAGATAGGGCCACCTGATCCTTTATTATTCTTAACCTTAATTGGCTACATAAAGAACAAATACCCCCGCCGCAGCAAACCTGCAGATTAAGCAAATTTCCATTTGCCTGATTGGATTGACATTAAAATATATCCTTAAAAATAGGCTATCACATTTATTCCCTATTTAAATAGCATTAGTTTAACGAGTACTTAGGTTTGCTGCAACAGGGAGGGTAAAGACGTAACATGTTAATAATTTAGTGTGAATAAATGTTTTTAGGGTCAAAAGTTGAAAAAAAACTATTAAAAAAAACCCTATAAACACCTGTTCCTATGACCTATAGTCCCATCATGCTGGTTCGCAAACTCGTTCAAATAAATGTTGGTTTACACGTTTATACCAAATTTCATCAAAATCTGATCATTTTTGCTCGAGTTATCGTGCTAACGGACACAAATATATATAGGTAAGTTACGGTATATGAATTTGAACAGGTGGTGTTTTTGGCCTCTAGGAACCTCAAAACGAAAAAGTAAATCGGTCCCGGGTCCAGGTCTTACGTATGAGTACTACGGTAATAGCTCTTTCCTTATATGGGAAATGCGCTAAAACAAAACTTACACCTTTAAATAAAGAATTACTTTAAAAATGACTCACAGACGGAGTCAGTAATTTATCAAGCATACAAACGCCCCTGGGACTCACCAGCCAAGGGCATTCGCTCTAAGTGTACAATTTATACAGTAACACCACAAACTAGGGACGACTATAACGCATCAGTATGGAGATAGGGGAAATTGTTGCATTTTCATCCTTGTAGAAACAAGTATACTTCTCCCAACATATCAATATAGGGGCTGTCTATGATTTAAACATTTTAGTTTATTAAGATAGTGACAAGTCACGTTACAACTAGGCAATTATTTATCCCAGTTAAAATTATTGTTGTTTCACATGCAATAATTTTGAATCCAAGACACCTGTTCAAAATCAAGTAAATAAATTTAAAGTTAGGTTTAGATTTTTTTAACTTGAAGAAATGGTCATGGAAATAGTCATACCAATAAAATGTTATTCGAAATTTTATTTTTGTACACAGTGAAATAATATTTTTAAACAAAACTCCAACAGTTCTATGATTTTGAATCATTTATGTAGCGTAAACCATACAAATCAAAACTTAAATATTAACCTATGAACAAATAAAAATGAGACTGGTTCATTTAAAACCTTAAGGTCCACGGACGGTAGGAAAAATATCAGAAGTGTCAAAAACTACCCGTGCCCCACAAGCCGCCAAAGATCCAGACATTTTTAATGGAAGTACTGCTACGTGTTTCTATAAGTTGTTTTAAATATACCAGCTGATGTAAAAATTTTGTATTTCTTTGTTTAATGATTTTAGTGTTCTGTTTTTAAGTTAGAATTACAATGGTAATCCAGTGTTGAAATGTATCGCTTACGGGGAAGACCACGACTACGAAGGAGAGTATTTTAGGAATGGTGCACAGCATAGAGAATGGTTAAGGCCAAATTACAACGGAGGTGAAGGGCAGCAATTGCTGCAATGGGCTCCTAGTAATAATTAATTTACGGTGGACAAAATCACATTCTTAACAAAAATACAGCACTCACCTCCATACATCATGAATAGTGTGACTTTCAACATAAACAAATTAGGGTTAATATTGAACTTTTCACAGTAAATTTCAAACCGGCTCCGGTTTAGATGAACTGGTTCCTTCTCTTCATCAGCCATTGTCAATCCTGTACAATACTCCGTGTTGTAGAGGGTTTAGCAGGAGTGTGTTGAGGTATAATCTAGAAGCCTCAATCTTCTGCTCAAAGTTTGCACTGGAAAGATAAACCGGTTGTAAATCCCTCCGCCATTGTGGTACAATGTATTTATGATAAGGGAATATTTGAGGTTTTGCTGATTACAAATTTTGCAGATGATAAGGAGGACTCTGGGTTGAGATTGTGTCAGGGCTAATGAATTAAATATTGTAAGGATTAGTTTTGCAAGAAATGTGAGTTTTATTGATTTTTGTTAGGGTATCAGCCTTACCTGAATGGGAAAGTCCACCCCAAAATCACCAAATTAAACCTCTCTACACCAAAGTATGAATATTTTACTGTCACTCTCAACCAAGAAAGATGTTGAAATTGGGCGTGTTGATGGTCTAGTGGGATCATCACACTTTGGGAAGGAAATAAGTTAAAAGTATCCTTAATACCAAGCAAGAATTATTCTTTTTCTTCAACTGCCTTTGCATTGATCTAAATACTACTCAATTTTGATTGTTTTAATCATATACACTATTGATCTTTTATCAAAGCTCGATACCAAAAGTTAGTTTGGAGATTAGATCAATACTTCAGACACTATTTACTGTATATAAAAAATATCAGTTTAAAAAATGTTTAATAAAATATTTCTCTTTAAGTACCAGTAAGTAATAATGAAACATACCTTTTATTCCAAAATAATAGTCCCACTGACATAATGTCTTCTTCTAGAAACCTCACAACACAAAGCACATGGCCAGTCCAAATTCATTGCAGTTTGTTGGATTCAGAACTATTTACAAGTCCAATTCATACTTTGGATCAAAGGAGGCAAGGACCGACCTTTTTCACCTTGTTACGTGCTCTAACTTGACACTATGTTCTCGATTGTTCAGTGAGTGCTATGACACCGTTTGGACTGTTCTTATCTTTATTACAGAAAATGTGGACTTCTGATAAAGATCTGTTGTGTTGTCAGTCGATATTTGAAGCTAATCTAAAATTATCACATGACTAACGTCATGAATGACAAAATTAGGAACTCCAAAAAATACAATATTAGTTTACTATAAAGCATATAGCAAATTTCCCTAAAAGTAACTGTTACAGTATAGTCTTCATGTTGAGGTTCTGCACATTTTGTTTTAGGATTTCAGAGGGAGAACACACTATTTTATGTTCAAACAAATAAATAAATATTCATTTGCCTAGCTGTATATCTGTTGGATAGAGAACTGTTGTAAAATAACCAACTTTTTATGAAATTTGTATTAATATGCAAACCTAATCCATTTGCAAAACAAAAAACACCACATTTCATAATTAGATTATTCTCTATAAAAAGTTACGGTTTCAATAAAGTACAATATAATTTTTTAGAGAATGTGAAAAATAATTGTATTGATGAATTTTGCTAATTTCCAACGTAGTCTGTATTGTTAGAACTAATTAGAAACTTTAAAGCAGCAGTTCTCTCTAACTGTAGAGAAAAATATTTCAAAATGCATTTTAAATTTCTTTTTACATGTCTACTACGTTCTGTAGACATAGTAGTAAAAGTATTACAAAACTGATAATTTCTTTTGAGAGGATATCATAAAAATACAAAAGGTAAATGCAAGAAAATGTACAGCTTTTAAGGAGAGTGGTGGTTTATGGCTTATGCTCTAGTCCTAAGCTGGTAAACATCTTGATATCCAGACTACAGGGGAAGTAAGGTACAGAAGAAACATTTAGTGGTATACTTAAGTGGTGTCTAGCACTAGTGCTGGTGTCTAGGGCAAAGTCCAGCACTGCCCCCTTTGCCCACATACCCTCTAACAACCTTGAGTACTACAACGCTCATGGTGGAGGAAGACCCTGTGCAAAAGGAATTTCCTCACAGTGCTCGCTGCTCAGGCTCTACCAACCTAGCTTCTCACAAGTATTATTACGGCACTACAGAGCTGAAAGCGCATGGTCGTCCCATAAGCGTATTCCCTCTGTACCTTACTTCCCTGTGGTGGAAGTAAGTCTCTACCAGAGGACCCAATATCAGGGTCTAAAATCAGGTTCTATTCTACAGAAACCATTAAAAAGTATGTAATTTATTTTTTATGTTATAGCAGAGGTTTTCCGGCTTTAAAATGTGACTTGATAACTCTCCCCACACACAAGCACCTACTATGTTGTAAACTGTCAATTGCCATAAGAGTTAAATAAACTGTTAATTTTATTTGTATATTGAAATAACGCTACTCTCACGCTCATTCTATCAAAGTTCATCTTCTTCTTAAATTAGGCACTATGGTGTGGTGACAAAGTAAAATCTATCCACAAGCAACTCCACCATGGTTAAGGGAGATAGTCCGGCTAATAGCATTACTAGAAACTTTTGTATAGTAGTAGAGAAGTGCGAGAAAAAATTGAAAAGTCAGGGAGAGTTTGTGGGTTCTTTATTTAAAAAGTGCAAGTCATTCGAAATACGTGGCTTACGGCCCTGTACTTCACAGTGAAGGAGGAATGGAGTCAGGCCCGCAGTTTGTGTATGTTGCACTATGGGCCGGAGAGATTATTGCTCCGATCCCCCTAACAAGGGGGGGAATTCTTTTACTTCATTCGCCCTAGAGAAAACTAAAATCTTTGACTGTTGTTAAAGCTAGACATTCAATCCCCGTGGGCCGATGACAGGTTGCTCTGATTCAAGCTACGAATTTCTATCGAATATGCAGACTTTTTAACCAAGTATAATAGGACAACTTAAAGTAAGCTATAGCATCTTTCATATCAAGTCAAATAACTATCTATATCAACTATCTTAGAAACAGTATTAATGGTAGAAAATAGAGTTTTGGGAACTAGTGCAACTGTGGCTGGCTCACTCAACTAAGTTCTTTAATGGTAAAAAAGTGATCACAGATGGTCCATATAGATGGGATGTCTACTTCAGTATCCAAGTTTAACCTCTTGCGCCCTAGGCTAGGGCCCATCTACTACAGTGACCCTGAATGGAGTATTGGTATATCTACTATCATGGATCTCTTTTTAATCATGAAATTTGGTTTATATGGATCTGTACTGAAACTAATTACATGGTTTGAATTACCTTGAAATCTAATATAAAAAACAAACATAACAAACCCACACAAAGGTTAAACCTTTTACTTTTACAGATGGTAAGGAAACATTAAGATACAAAAACAATTTCATAAATTTTTTATTAAACTCAGGAACATTTTTAATTTTACAAAATATATATCAGGATAACCCACTTGAGGTCACTTTCTCGACCGACTGCGATAACAAACGATATCACTATATACAATCCGATCTTCCAGTGCAATATACAAACTCAATGTCCGAACTTTATACGATTCACACGGTCAAAAATACCTTTATTGTCACTATATACACGCGTTATTTACATCCTTATTCCTATTTGGTTGAAAAGAAGCACTTCCTGAGCCCTATAGCTCGTATGACAAAAGTACATTGTATATACAGTTTTACCTCAATGTTAATTGTGTAGGTGTACATATAAGTGTCTATTAATAATTCATTGATATTTGTGCTAAGCATAATATATTATTATAACATAAACATAACAATACTTAGTTAATTCTTTTGGATTAGTTTGATTAATTAGAATACGGCTCTGAACTGTAACTGTAATATTTTCAACAACTTAAAAAATTAACAATTTTATATTTAAAAAGTATCTTGTTGATTTGACAATCTACAATTTTTTATTGGGATAGTGATGTTGACCGAAATGTGATGAATATTAACAATGACATTCTTTATAGTATAATAACTGTTTGTTTTCAAGAAGATTAATTATTAACTGTGATGTCAATTTGAATCTTTCATACTAAAATAAAGACATTATATTACACAGTTCTAGGTCAATTATGTTTTTTATTTATCAAAAGGTAAATTGAAATACATATTAAAAATTATAAATTATATTGCTGACTAGTATTAATACACCTTATCTTAGTAAAGACAACAAAACAACTATCTATTAATTTTTAGAAAAATACATCTAAGTCAAACATAAAATTATTTTTTCTAATTTTTTAAGCTATTTCAGACTAATTACGTATGTAGTATAGAAGATTGAAACACAATTTTCAATGAGGTTTCAAAAGATAATCACATTTCTCAATTTGGATATACTCTGAAAGAAACATAACTTAAAATGAAATATCAATCGTTCACTGAGAAAAACATAAACGGGTTGCAAAATCTAACCTTTCCTTTGAGACAAATTCTATTATCATCTATAACATTTAAAATCAAACAATACAATTTTTTTAAACAAAAAAATCGTATAGTGTATTTTTTTCAGAAACAAAGTAAATTTCTTTCAAGCATAATTAAAAGCCATTTGGGATAAAAATATGTAAACACATTTCATGAAGTCAGAAAATCATTTAAGATTTTACACTATAATTTTAAAACCAGTTAAAATTATATAAACTCTAAGATAACAAAACACAAAACAACCTTCAAACAAAGAATTTGTATAGCACACTATTTTCTGAATTCGTATACCAAAATGATTTCAATAAAATTTTAAAAGAAAAACTAAATTTTAACATGAAAAACTCAACTAAACATAAACTTAACCATTTATGACTACCATTACAATATAAAATGTAATTCTAACATTAGCACAGCCATATATGTTTTTAAAATCATTTGACCTATTCCTCACCAGAGAAATAGAAAATACTGTAGCAGTAATATTTTCTACAATAAAAAATGGATACCCTTTTACAAAGAAAATATAAAATGCCCTGATCGAAAGTGACAGATTTATATAATAATGTATGATTGATAAAACTCCAAGATCAAAATTATTGTGTTTAGAGTTTTGTCATTTACCACTATAAGATATGGGCCTTTTGTTTTATGACAGGGGATGATTTCATTTGTTTAATTATCAATAATTATAGATCGAGGTGGCATAAAACACTTTTCACCCTCAATTTTTCATGAATAGAATTTTCAAAAAGTTAGTTGACAAAGCATAAATCATTTGAGGGTTGAAAATGTGTTTTTACAATCAATTTATGTGTTGTTTTATTTATTTATCTAACACACAATTTATATTTAGATCTAAATTTACATAAAAAAGTGTTGTTTTAAAGAAAATATATGTATAAATTAATAATTAAATTAACTTTAAATTAACATCATTTTTATTCTAATTTCAGCACCTCAATGAATTGGACGCATTCAATAAATATTAATAGCACGATACCAACCGACATCTTAAAGCACTTTTGAATTTTAAATTTCAATGACATAAGTGGATAATTTCAATTAATTGTCACTGGTTGGTTTAAAAAAGCTTTACAACCCCAAAACCATCAACCCCAAAGATCTATTAACACCTTTCTTTCAAACATTTTAAAAGCCAAAAAATCATACCCAGGACATACATTAAAATAAATAAAAGATATTTCACATTGTTAAAATACGACTACTTTCAGGATATCTAACATAATAATTTATTAACATAAACACGAGTGATCTTATGACACACAGCTAAAATTGGACTAGGTTAATGATAACAAATTTATTGTAGGTTAAAATGAAAGAGCACGGTATAATATATACCAGGCTAGGTTTATCGGTGCTACAAGCAGCTTACGGGTTGGCACAGGGTAGCAGTAATATGTACAAAATAAAGCTTGTTGCAAGCTAAACCGTAAAGTTATAAGTCTGTTTAAGGCGCGCTGCTTGTTGGCGGAAGTGACGCTAGTTGCGCCAAAGTCTCCGGAGAAGCGTTCGCCTTGAGGATCGCGTTCTCCATCTCCAACTGGTTTATCCTGTCCATCAGCTCGGCGATCTTCTCTTTCAACACTTCGACTTCTTCTCTGACAGCGAACATGAGGTGGCTCTTTACAAGATCCTGCGACAGACAATGACAATTACAACACTGTAAACTGAGAATGTAGCTGCTCACCTACTTCACTGTGTGAACATCCTACATTGGTAGTCTTTGATTTCTCATCTATACCCATGTTTCCCAATATGTGGTACGCAGAGGTTACGGTAGTGGTGCATGGTGACGTTTAAAGGACAAGTGTTAAATTTCAGGACATTGGACTAATGCTTCAGCTTCTCTTTCATACCCGTGATAGGTCCAATCAAAAGTATTATTTATTTATGTGTCCGTGTCCTGTGTTAAGTGTCATGTGTGTAAACCAACAACGAAACTATACAAGTGGATTTTTTAATGTACATTCCTGGACTGTATGCTTGACAATGGCATCTCGCCGAAACATGTAGCATCTACGAAAGTTACAATTTGGAACTGACGACAGGTAATATAAAACCAATATTAGTCATTATTACAATTATTATAGTTGTAGGGGCTACTACAATACATTTTTAGCTATTAATCATTAGGTTTTGTTATTTTTATTGTATTTTCCATACAGTCTGGATTTCTTATAATTAATAAAATATAACTCTACACAAAGTTTTATTTTCCATATCCTACTTATGGTTGGAGAATACATTAGATGTAATTCCAAAATAATAAAATAGTAAAAATATTCCATCCACAATTACCTCCACGCAAGATTAAGTGGTGACAAAATATTTTTGTATTATGGAGTGGTAAGAATCCAGGAAAAATAGTTGGGAAACACTGATCTAGACGATAAGAGAGTGTTTTAGACTGCCTGGTCACTTATTGAACCTAAACGATGAACCAGGGATGTTAACGCAATAGTAGGTTCCGACTTGTGCACAGAGCTAGTTACAAGCAGGTTACCTGCCTGAGGTAACTTGAAATACATTAACTGAGGTAGGTAACCTACCTGCCTCGTGTAAACCCAACTTTATGGATGTAATATGGAGCACAATGGACCAGATATTTAGCATGATTATCAGATAAGCCTGCTATCTTAACAATAGGTTAGTTTTAGATTTCTCATCTAGATGACATATCTTTAAGCTTCATGACTTCCCATAAGCTCTAAAATCCAAACAAGTGACAAATATACTATACCTTTAGCAATTCGGGAGTGTCCCTGAACGCCAGGTAGGCTCACGCACACACGTTCAGTCCTCACACACACAAGGACAGGGGATTAGGACCGGCCACATACTGTCCCGCGCTCCGTAATTAGTCACAAGTGGCAATTCCTTTATCAAATGTATAGTTTATTAACTTAAATATCAAACTTAAAATAGTTAGCAGTGATCGATTCTGCTCATCAACACGAGAACATTGATACCAAACACAATGTGCCTTTATAAAACCTGAAATATATTACAGTTATGTTATGTGAAGGAATATTTATGCAAATCATGGATTGTTTGGTATCATTTTATTTTAATTTTCAGGGGAATTTAAATTTATTAACAGTTTCTATTTAAAATTACATTTTGATTACAAGTGAAGTCTAAAAGAACTAATGAAGGGAAAGTACGGCCGGTCTAGGGTGGCTAGGGTCGGTCCTAATCCTCTCTGCTCGTGAGGGTGAGTGTGCGTGCGTGAGAGCGGAACTGACCTGGCATCCAGGGACACTCGCAAAATGCTAAGACTATAGAAGAGTCATACGTTTTTATGCATGTTTCTTGGTGTTCATTTTTTTTATAACTCATGTGCAGTAACAGATTGACTTAACACTATACAACTGACACAAGGACTGTTGATTTTTTTCAAATAAAAATTACATTTAAAAAACATTACGTGATTTACTATCTAGGCATATTTTATATATTTTGGCTAGTGATGAAATAGTGATGAAAAAAAATTTTGAAAAAGTTTTCATCACTAGGAGCGAAAGTTGCTCTTTTTGGTATGCAACCGAGATTTACTAGCAAGGCGCAGCCTAGCTTGGAAGTACGATTAAGTATCAAGATGACACTTTTGCTCCTTGTGATGAACAACTATTTTTATCATACTGTGGAAATAATCTTCTAATCGTTACAAAATTAGACCACATGATTTGAGGTTATACAAAGTCGTCAGCAATGTTTACATTCTGTTGTTTACGAACATAACTGAAACGTGTAATGGAATGGGCACACGGGAGGGACTAAGGCTAAAGGTGTAGTGACGTCATACCTCTAGTGGCTAATGTCTTCTCTTGAGGCAACACGATTACCGTAACGAGACGATGTGATTTCACCGGCATTCGTGGCATAGATGGTAGCGTTTCGGATTGATGTTCATGAGGTCCCGGGTTCGGAACCAGTCGGCGACATTAACTTTTTGTCAACGATTTTTGCTTAGAATGCGAATACTTCTTAACCGTACGTACATCTTTTGTTAGAATTTGATGCATTTATAATTTTATTTATGAACAGAACTTTTTTTAAATATTGAACCTTTATTCAATTTTTATCTTTATCTTTATTATAGTATCAGCAAGTTTGGTTAGTTAGGTTTGGTTATGACAATTTAATTTTATAATACTAAATTTTAAAATTAATTTTATAATTAAAAATTATAAGTAATCATTAATTAGATTTTTATCTTATACAGTTTTTATATTATTAGCAAGTCTGGTTGGTTAGGTTATGTTATGACAGTTTAATTTTAAAAATTTAAAATTTATTTTTATAGTAAAAAAAATATTTTATAGGTAATTAAAAAGTTAATTTTATAACTAAAAATAAAAATAAAAATTTTCAACTTAGCGGTTCTAGCAGCGAACACTGACACTACAAGATATGTTAGCCTTAGTCCCTCCCGTGTGCCCCACTTAACATGTAATTAGTAGCTTTTCAAACAAATTTTGAGGTTAGAGTAACTTCCTTGTCACTAAAACAAATCGATGGCACAACACTAAAGACAGTATAAAAATAGAAGTGGGATTGTGTCAAAATTAGTGTAAACAAACAATTTGGCAGGAGTGCTCTCTAAACAGCTGACAACCATTAGGCAATCTGCCTTTAACATAATTTAAAAGTTAGAATCTCTGTCATTTACCTTGAATTTCAAAGGTGTGTCAGGTCTGAACTTCAGATTAAATCTTTAATTGGAACTCTCATTAAGATATGTAGGTTTATTTGTTTACGATGTTTAAACCAGAAAAATTGCTTCCACCCAATATATGCATTACCTTATATACTATTTTAATTTAGGAGCAAGAATATGTCGGCTAATTTGTAAACACTGTAGTCCATTTGGTTAGATATCGGTTGAAATAGACATTGATGTGAACATTTTATGTTGAAAATCTCATTGGTAAACAATATTGGATATCTATATAATTAATACGCTACATGAAACTTTGTCGGTTGAACTCCTCCGTCATTTCTTAACCGATTTTATCCATTGACGTCTCATTGGAAACAGCGTGTCGCGTAGATTTGCAAACTGGCCTTACATTTTTGAAAAAGTCGCTTGGGCTCTGCCCCAGTGGCTTTGAAAGTTCCCATGTTATCCTTATGAAGAACATAATTGTTTACATTTTGATCAGCTGTTTAATTTAATTGCTGTTATTTATTTTTCGATTCCAGGTCTTTTAAACTCATTGGAAATTATGATGAGTTTTATTTGTTTTTAAATAACTACTATACTTCTTTGCAATTGCTCGATTTCGAGCAACGTGTTTACTAGTTTGTTTATATTACATTACATTTGATGTTGTAGCCTTTAGTTCTTGAGTATGTAAGATGTTTGTGTCACCATATGCATTTCACCAGCTTGTGTGGTATCTTCAGGGATCTTTTTCAGTTATCTTCATACCACTAACACTACAACACTGTATTTGCAAACATATTTACACACACTAGTATGAATTGTTGTTGTGTATCAAGCAACGCTACATAGATCAAAGGACCCGCTCATCCATAAACCAGAAAAGTACAAACTACCCGCAATTGTCAAAAAGCCCAAATTAAAATTCCAAAACCCACAGTCCTAGAGGAAGAAAGACCTCCTGCAAAGACCCTGCCGTGTGACTGTCATCACGTTGTCCGATTGACCCCACCGTAATACTAATGACCGCGCATGTGTAAATATGTACGTTACTACAGAATAATATAGTGTAGCTGATAAGAAGATAACTTATGAAGATCCCTGAAGATGCCACACAATCTGGCAAAATGGATAGGGTGGCACAAAACTCTTACCTACTCAAGAACTACACACAACAACAAAAGTAGTCTAATATAATTCAAGTTCTGGGAACTGGGATGGAAAATAAATATTGCGTTGATTTGGTTAAAAAAAATTAACTAAATCAAGAATTTATTTACTTTTCTTGCTTGTACCCGCGGTTTTGCCTGCGATGGTATAGCAATAAAGCAATAAATACCTATTATATCCTACTGTATAAAAAATAAAATTTGCCTGATGGAATTTTGGATTGAATTAGCACATTAACCAGCCAATCATTGTCAAAGGCATTGCCGCGTATTGTTGAAATACAAAGAGTCGGTCTCAGCGACACTCACACTAAAATAGCATTATCATTTTAAGCGTCTTGTTAAGATGAACAACTTCCTAATTTATACCTACTGTCTATTTCTTTTAGTATTTAAGTAATAAACCAAAAACTAAATTTTCCATATAAAATGGAATTACAGTAACATGCATTTTATATGGAAAAATTTAGTTTTTGGTTTATGACTCAAATACTAAAAGAAATAGACAGTAGGTATAATTGTGCACGGGTGGTCTGATCCACCCTATATAAAGGAGTTTGCAAAATAAACAGGGAAGAAATTGATATACCAATTTATTATAACTGTTTAAAGAATAATGGAAATAATATTATTTTGCTAGACTGATAATGTTAACACATTCAATTTTAAACAATAATTACAGTTTCTGCAATTTTATTAAATGTTTGAAACACAATAATCAAATTTCTTGTATTCAAAATATCTGAAAATACATTAGCCTTTCAAGTCCACTGAATTATTGATCAGCACAAACAGACTTGTTTGGTGGTCAATATGTTTGAGGAGTTGTAACCCTTAGCGCACTGAAAGTATGTCAACATAAAAGTCTTTTTTTATGACAAAAAATAATTTTTTTAAATCACGACATATTACATTTTACAGTAATTTTAATGCCTTTCCTCTTAAACAGTATATGGCAACACCATGGTCAGACTGGGCCGATGCAAGGACCATATGAAAAATGCGGCCTCATGGGGCTTCGTCAGGGTCTATGGTGTCTCAATATTGTTCCAAACCTTTTTTGAAACTTTTTTCGGCCGAAAAATGTTTGTTTATACATGGCTGCCTTTTTTAGGAAGACCACTGAAGAGGTTCACGATTTTTGAGTGACCGCAGAAGGCTTGCACGATTTTTTAGTGACCGCAGAAGATGTTCATGATTTTATAATGACCACAGAAGATGTTTTCGATTTTTCCGGGAAGTCAGAACATGTTCTTAATTCTTCTATGACTGCGGAAGACGTTAAAGATTTCACCATGACTGCGGAAGATCATATCAAGCAAAGAAGTGGGTGAGCTGGTACAGTTCAATAATTGAATTTTCACCCAGTGCTGATAAAGTTAGGTGAACACGCCACGAGGAGAGCCTACAACATCGCTGCCTCGGTTTCACGGTCCGCCGGGCTACAGACTGAGCCACCAACTCACACAGAGACTTTGAACACACTTGAGCAGTAATATACTTAGGCCTTTTTCTATCACCAACACACTATTTATACCATTCATTTACAATTTTCCCCAAACGAATTATATTAAGACTAGGAAGGGAAAGTAAAACAACTTACCATCGCTTGTTCGATTTTGTTGTCTATAGCCACAGCACTCGCCCCCGAAGCACTGAAACAAAAAGAGATTAGCTTTTTTGTTTAGACGAAGGGAAAAATGAGTTTTATAATGTAATGAATACAAATAGAACTAAACATGTTTAAGTTGAAGCCAGTTTTTGAATAAAAATAAATATAATTGATTTGAGCCATAGACAGAGTGTACTGATAAGAATTACTGATTTCTGGTAAAAGCACACACTTTTTAAAATCAAACCAAAATGAAATTACAGCTTATCGTAAACTATAGCATCTTTCATGTTAAATCATAATTTGTAATATAAAATAGGGGATAAATAAGAGTGGATCAACTATGTTTTCGTGTAATGCAGCTGGTCTCTAAAGATGGGACGTTTACTTCAGTAAGGCAATGCTTACAGAATTTAATAGAGTACACGAGTGTTTTTGAGAGTATTATGAAATAATTAATGGAAAAAAGACAATATAACTAGTTGAATTGCATAGTAAACTGCCTGGTTACATAAAGAACTTTTTTTTCAAATTAAAAACAGTTGAAGTGCCACTTGTTGTCAATGTCTATTTATACTCCTTCACAGTAATGTTTCATTTTAGTTAGCCTTTTCAAGGTTATGTTTTATACCTATAGTTTTGACAGTATTAAATGTACAACTACCAAATTGAAGACTTTTGATTTGGTGTGAACAGTCTTTTATTTATAAATAAAAGGTATTACTAAGCAATTATCTTAAATATGTAATAATAACCTAGAATTTGATTATAATACAAGGCAACATTCAATCATTAAGTCACAAGGTGAAAAAGAAACGCAAATTTAAAAGTGGGTCACGAGTCTTTTTCAGACATCAGATGAAATTGAATCAATTACTTAATGTAGGTCTGAGTCACTACTGCAGGCAAGCTTAACTCCAGACAACTTATGGGACAACCACACACAACACTCCAGTTTGTTTGACCTAACCTTGTAACTGTATTGTAGCTATTACTACTCTGTGAACTTGACGAGGATAAATAAAAATAACTTTTTGTTTGATAAGTGGTTGATGAAAGTTTACAAAAAAGTATACCAAAGTAAACAACATAAAGAATCTGAGTCAAAATGTTTTATTTTTAGTTTAAAAAATAATATAGACAATTATTGTGATCAAGGTGCAATATAAAGTTTCATTAAATATCATAAGGATTTTAAATAAAAAATTGTCAAGTTGTTGTGTATGGTTCTGTTGCTTTCCAACAATGTTTTAACGTTCACTGTGTTCTACAGATCCTGGAAAATAACTAGTTACATTAGACCACCTATTCAGCGATTAACATCAATTCCAACAAACTGTGAACAATTCAAAAAGAAAACACAACACCTTCGCCATGGGACAAATAACATCACAATCATCCTAAACATAAACTTTTGACTAAACAATATAAAGCACAAACCCCTCAATTATTATGTATTCCCCTAACTAAATAAGAAATTAGTGACTAAAATTAAGTCGAGTCGCCAAATCGTAAAAAATCCCCCTAAACAAAACGTCTGTGACACTACAATTTCCCACCTGCAATACAGCAAAACACTCCTCAATTGATGCATCTTGCTTAACTAAATCAACAGGTTAGTAATGAAATAATAAAGATACTGACGTGGTAGACCGCAAAGCGTCTCTGTACGGCATTGCTTTCTGCTTATCACTGACCACACCTCGCCTCGTGATCGTGATCACTTAACTTTGGGTCAACAACGAGAGCACGAGCACGCCACATTGGACTGATTATCCCACTTGTAAACTAACACTCCACCGAGATATCTGCCAGTGAAATGATAGGTATTTATAGAAAAACTGCTATCAGTCTGTGATAAGAGTGTTTAGATCAATTTGTGAACTGGAGTTATTATTGTGTCATCATTTTATTTTGAATGTTTGTATTAAATTTGGGTTGTATAAATATATTTGTGGTAGAAATCGTTTTAAACATTAATTAATTATTGTTAATAGTTCATAATGTTTTTAATTACTAAAGAATACTGAATAGTTTTATAATAGCCATACAGTTAGTAAAGAGCTTGATCTTAATAAAATATATTTGACACATCGGCTATTATTATCAGATGGTTTGACATTTGATGTATAGAATAGTTTTAGATATTCAAATTCTTTTCAACGTCGGCCCTGCCACAGATACATAATCTAATTTAGCTTTCTAGACATTTTAAAACAAGTAACATTTGAATTAAAAGCAACAGTTTTAGCGTTAACTTCGTAGATATTTTACTTAACGCAAATAATGAAGAACAACATGGGAATTATAAATAACAATATTTTTAATTTTCTCTGTAACCAATAATTCTACAAAAACACTTTGATATACTAAATTTTTTTCTAGCTCTGGAGAGAAATTGGGAAATTTTGTGTTTAGAGGGTCAAAAATTAGAAAAACCAATTTTAACCCCATAAAACCCCGTTCCCATGGTCTGATCATGCTGGTTCGCGAACTCATTCAAGTTTATACCGCCTTACACTTTCAAACTAAATTTCATCAAAATCGGACAAAAATTATTCAAGTTATCGTGTTCACGGACACACGTATATAAAAATTTGAACGAATGGTGTTTTTGGCCTCTGGGGACATCAAAATGAAAAAGTAAATCGGTCCCGGGCATAGGTCTTACCATGCCACCTATGGTAATAGCTACTTCCTACAGGGAAATTCGATAAAACTAATACAAAAACAACAGGGTAGAACAATCCTTTTGATATAAGTTTTAAATTATGACTTGACTACCTTAGGTCTCATGCTAAGACCTAGACCTGGATTTTTTTGTTTTGTTGGCCACAGAAGCTGGCTAAAAGCACCATCTGTTCAAATTAATATATACATAGCCTATATGTGTGTACCTATAACTTAAGTAAAAATTATCAGACTTTGACTTTGATAAAATTCAAAGCAATTGAGAAACCTACATCTATTTGGACGAGTTTGAGCTACAGCGTGATTGGACTATGGGAGCAGGGTTTTAAGGGGTAAAAGTTGGTTTTTCCCATTTTTTCTCTCCAAAACATAAAATGTTACAATTTCTTTCCATACTACTTTTTAAAACATAAAAAACAAATAATTTTGTATTTTGAAGCGTTGTTGTATGCCTCATGATTACAGAGAAATTTCTAAAAAACCATAAATGTAAAATTCTTATGTTATTCTTATAGAGAATTGATTGAAACTGTTGAAGTTTGCTTATTATAATATATTTGTTGGTCAAATTTTGAAATTTTTTTTTTTTTATACTTAACTATTATTATTTCAACAAAAACACTTTATTTTCTTAATTGTAGCAGCAACCTTAAGTAGGAATATTAAAATAATTTTATTTTAATAGGAAATAAATTTAACAATTTTTAAGATATAATTTAGTTTAATTTATTTTATCTACATTTGTAGGGAAATTTTCAAAGATATATCTAACAAAGTAAAATCGGTTTCACCCCAATACATTTCTTGTTTCACAAACTGCTATATAATTATAGTAGTACACTCACACTTGTATACATGACCCACATGTGTGCTATAGATTCTATACTTTGATAAGAATCGATCAAAAGAAAATAACATGCTCAAGGATAAAAACTTGTATCTTTCATAAATGCTGGAGATTATAATAATTTAAAATATAAACATAACTCGTGCTGTCCTGTTTGCATGACCAATAAAATAGATGCTGCAGTTTGATAATAAATTAATGTATTCTGTGTATTATAACAAATTTCTCTTAATGAAATTTGAAAAAAAAAGAATGTACTGAGGTCTGAGACACATCATTTTATTCAAACTCCTAAATCTAAATCAAGCTCCTAGACCATGCCTTGTTGATTCATAGTTTTGTAGTAAAAAGCATTTCACCTGCGAGTGAAAAAAATACCTCTCTGAGTTTTTAACAATAGGCTACTGTACTGTAGGCCTACAGGGTGTTATAAAAAAATTCACAACTTTAAACTAATAGTTAATGTAATAAATAGCCCAGAAATATAATGGAAAACGATTTTATACCGAACAAATTATTCATACATCTTTTTAACAATTACACCAAACCAAACCATAACATAGGTACAAAAGGTAAACCAGACAATTAATATTTGATCAGGTGATGATGTAAAGACAAGATGAGAAATATTACTTCTCTAACACCACCCCTTAATGTTTATCAACTTGATCCAGTCCGATTAATTGTACTAACTCTGGATGCATTGGGCCAGGAACACCTTTTGTCTTGTTTTCTTGACACAACAAAGTTTTCAGTCAGTTGAATATAGGGCTTCTTTCCGCGGTCTGTTCAAAAAAACAGTTGACAAATCCAAATGATGAATTGGTGTACGATCATGAACCACATTATACGCTTGAAATGGTCCAATGTCCTTTGGTTTCTGTGTTCATTATGAATACCTTCTCACCTCTGGTTCTGCTTCATGATCATCTGTTGTACATCTCCTCTTCCAGATTTGATACATTCTCAGCAGCTATGACATCATTAACATCATTCTCAGTTATGGCTCTACTCTCTGAGTCATCATTTGGCAGATCTAAAATCTTATATGATTTGTTATCCCTCACTCCCCCTTCAACTGGGTTTTCCTCTAAGAACACAACATCTCTAGATATGATTACCTTAGAGGGATATCTTGGATCAACAAGTCTGTAGGCTTTAGAGTTTTGGCAATAACCAACAAAAATCAACTCACGACTTTTGGGATCGAGCTTCTTTCTTTGTCCACTTGGTACATGAGCGAAAGCTTTGCAACCAAAATCTCGCAAATGACTAAGATCAACCTTCTTGTTGGTCCACACCTCTTCCGGTGTTCTCCCAAAAACAGCTTTAGTAGGAGACCGATTCTTCAAATAAATTACAGTATTAGCTGCTTCAGCCCAATACTTTTTGTCTAACCCAGAATCATGCAGCAGAGAACGAGTCTTCTCAAAAATTGTACGATTTGCCCTCTCAGCAACGCCATTTTGAGACGGTTAGTATGGGGCAGTTGTTTGATGTTGTAC